TGTAATTATATAAATATATGCCCGGTTTCACAAGACAAGGCTTAAGCCTAGTTCCAGACTAAAATGCATGTTTAAGCTCTTCTAGCTGAAAGCAACTTGCACTGATGTATTTTAAAATGACAGTGCAATTCTTTTCTCAAGACGCAAACCAGTAATGTTTTTATTTTATAAGGCACGTTTATAAAAGCCTCTTACCGGTAAATGAACGCAAAGAAATGAAGACAACCATAAATGTTATTATTGTAATTTTACTGTTGTTCTGTAAAATAAAATAACAATAATTATTATATAATAATTATTTGATATTGTATTATAATATAATGTATTATTGTTTTTATTATTATTAAATACTAAATTTTCATTTTATTTTACAGTACAATAGTATGTATTGATGCAATAGTAAGATATTTAGGTTAATAAAATACATATTTTTTATTAATAATAATTGCTGCCGGGAGGTGTCAGGTTTTCCCTCTTTCTTTCTTTTTTTTATTTAGCTGATCACATGCCTGTTAGTTATAAGATGGGCCTGAATCATATGCACATTTTGAGCTCCTTGGTTCTAATTTAAGCTTCCTATTCAGGTGGTTCACAGGGATCTAAAGCCCAGTAACATCCTTTATGTTGATGAATCTGGGAATCCCGAATCCATCAGGATCTGCGATTTCGGCTTTGCCAAGCAGCTGAGGGCGGAAAACGGACTGCTGATGACGCCATGTTATACTGCCAACTTTGTGGCCCCAGAGGTATGTTTTTCAGGTGGCTCAATATTTTATCAAATAAATGTGAGTTTCTTGATCGGAGAACATCACTTTGGTCCCCAGGTGCTGAAGAAACAGGGTTATGACGCTGCTTGTGATATCTGGAGTTTAGGTGTCCTTCTGTACACAATGTTAACTGGGTAAGTATTTAAACTTAGCACTATAGTTGTCAAAATGTGTTTCTATTCAATTGACACCAAGCTTTTTCTCAGATTTACGCCATTTGCTAATGGCCCCGAGGACACGCCGGAGGAGATTCTGGCTCGAATCGGCAGTGGGAAGTTTTCTCTCACTGGCGGATACTGGAACTCTGTTTCACTCGAGGCAAAGGTGCCCACCTGAGAAGAGCATCTGAATATACACTTCAAAACAGGACCACCAGACAAAAATAATCATTCATTGTTGTTCTCTACAGGACTTGGTGTCTAAGATGTTGCATGTAGACCCTCATCAGAGACTAACAGCTGCACAGGTGTTGAGACATCCCTGGATCGTTCACAAAGACCAGCTCCCCAAATACCAGCTGAACAGACACGACGCCCCCCATCTGGTTAAGGTTTGGTCCTGTCTGCACACTGTGCTTTAGAATAAGACCGAAATATCTAAGTGTTCACATAAATATTTTACTCTGCCCCTGAAATGCTTCACAAGGTTCCCAAGGTCATGAAAAATTTGTAAATATCGGGGAATTAAACCAAAAATAAAAGATTTTTTAATAAAAAAAAAAAAAAAAAAAAATTTTGCTCAGCTGTTGAATCAGCTAGAAATTCTGTTTATAAAATAAACACCACCGTCCAAAGTTTGAAAACATTACTATTTTTTTTTTGTTTTTGAAAGAAGTCTCTTATGCTCATCAAGCCTGCATTTATTTGATCAAAAATACAGAAAACAATGTAATATTGTGAAATATTATCACATTTAAAAAAAAATGTTTTTCAATTTTAATATGCTTTAAAATATATTTTCATTAGCTATTACTCCAGTATTCAGTGTCACACGATCCTTCAGAAATCATTCTAATATGCTGATTTATTATCAATGTTGGAAACAGTTGTGCTGCTTAATATGTTTTATGACCTGTGATACTTTTCTTTTATGAATAATTTTTTTTTTTTTTAAAGAACAGCGTTTATTTAAAATAGAAATCTTTTGTAACAATATATACTACAGTTCAAAAGTTTGGGGTCAGTTGTTGTTGTTTTTTGTTTTTTTAAAGAAATGGAAAAAAATATCCCCCTCTGCTTCCAAATGCAAACCGCTGAAGAATTCAGCAAGGATGTGTTAAATTGATTTTTTTTTTTAAATGATAGTAAGGATTTATATTGTTAGAAAAGATTTCTATTTTATATAAATGCTGTTCTTTTTAACTTAAAAAAAAAAAAGTATCACAGGTTCCAAAAAAATATTAAGCAGCACAATGCTTTTCAACATTGATAATAACTGTATCTATAATAAATGTATGATTGATAATATCAAATAAGCATATTAGAAGGATTTCTGAAGGATCATGTGACACTGATAACAGGAATAATGATGCTAAAAATTCAGCTTTTCATCACAGAAAGAAATTATATCTTAAAGTATTTTCAAATAGAAAACCATTATTTTATATTGTAATAATATTTCACAATTTTACAGTTTTTTTCTGTATTTTATCAAATAAATGCAGGCTTGATGAGCATAATAGACTTCTTTCAAAAACATTAAAAATAGTAATTTTTTCAAACTTTTGACCAGTACTATATATATATATATATATAAACCCTAAATATTAGTTATGTTAGGGAAATTATGGAAAGAATTTCATTAAGGTGTAGAAAACTTGTATTCAACCTGACACTTTGACAGGACAGTTTAATTAAGCAAGTTTTGTGTGAAATCTTTTCTCCTGTAGGGGGCGATGGCTGCTACATACTCTGCCTTGAATAGGAGCGTTCCTCCCGTGCTGGAGCCCGTGGGCTGTTCTATTCTAGCTCAGCGCAGAGGAGTGAAAAAACTGACCTCCACTGCTTTATGAGCTAATACCTTCCACCTCCAACCCCCGTGACCTCTAGCTTGGTTTGAGCACAGCCTGAACTCGGCTTGCTTGCCGCCCACCTTGTGTCGAGGCCTTCAGAATCAAGTGTAGATTCTGAGGACCCCTGATGGACACTCAAAATCTTCCTTTACTGGTTACTTTGAGGGCCAATAAAAACAGTTCGCCCTGTACAATCATGCCTCTGCTTCCAAACGCAAACCGTTAAAGAATCTGTGGACTATTTCTGAGGAGCTAATTATGTATGAATATAAGCATACTGTAAAAAAAAAAAAAAAAAGCTATGATGTTAACGAAATCAGGGAGGATGGGGATTTTCAAGGATGACAACAAATTCCTGCACCAAACCATGAACACAGTTGCGAAAAGCTCCAGTTGTATGGGGATGTCATATATATAGGAAATGTTCCTGTCAGTTCGACACTGATTATTCAAATTGTATCCTGTTCTGCTCTACTATTTTACATCAGGAACGCCATATAGCATATTTAAACCCCACCAAACCATAACTGCTATGGTGTATCCCAGCAAACCTTGTACTCCTGTCATCTTTTAACAACAAACTAGGAAAAAACCCCTCTCAGCAGACCCATACAAGACTGTAAGTGGAGTCTGAATGTTTGTATGACGGCTGCTGGCGTTAATGTGAACGAGATCCAAAGCACAAAAATGCGGTGGAGGCCTACATGTAAACGGCACAGAATGTCTAATAGAGAACTCAGGTGAAACGCAATACATTATACAAAAAAAATTAAAATAAGCTGAGACGGAAATGTATATGGCTGTATCGCCTCACCTAAAACCTGCTGACCTGTGTATTTGTTTGTATGTAGGGATGTACAGAAATGCTCAGAGATATATGTAGTAACTTTTTTAAGTGACTACTTACAGCCTTGACATATTTTTATAAATGTGCATGGGCAAGATGCTATATTAGCTAGTAGCTCTGTGGAAGTGGTCATGTTTATGAGCATGACTGATTATGTTTTTTTTCCCCTTCATTTTTTTTTAACCACTTCTAATTCCTTGCAGGTTTGTGGGGGTTTTTTTCTGAGCAATTTTAAATATGTTGTACATTTTCTTTTCATCTCAGTTGTATTTTTCCTGTCTTGGAAGAGAGCTAGAAATGTTGCTGTCCATATAAGCTGCTATCCTGTTCTTTCTTTTGTACATGTAGAAAATAAATTTTGCCATTTTTTAATATGACTCTGAATGTTTTTTTGCACTGTTTTCCATTTTTTTTAGAAACCACATAAAAGGGTTCGTCACACAATACTTGCAAACGTGGGTGAGCCAAAGTGCAAGCAAAGAAAATGATTTTTGTCTTGTGCTGCATGTAAAATATTCAGATTTGGTGAACTCTGACCTATAATTTTGCATAGCACATTTGAGGATCTGAGTCACATATTGACCTTATGCAAAGAATACAAACTTCAAAGTTACCGTACATGGCTGGCAGTGTTGCTGGAAACAGTATTTTTTAACACTATTTCTAATTTAGAATCTAGAAAAATTTATTAATTAATAATTTTGTGTGCTTGAGTGTGACTAAAATTGTTAAATATATATACAATACCATTCAAAATGTTGGGGTCAGTGAGATTGTTTTTGATTTTAAAAAAAAAAGTCTTTAATGCTCACCAAGCCTGCATTTATTTGATCAAAAATAATAAAAACATTAATATTGTAAAATATTATGACAATTTAAAGTAACTGTTTTCTATTTGAATTTTAAAAATGTAATTTATTCCTGCAATGGCATGAATAAAGCTCTTTCAGAAATCATTCTAATAGGCTGATTTGGTTCTTAAGAAACATTTCTTATTATTATCAATGTTGAAAGTTTTGCAACTTAATATTTTTGTGAAAACCATGATACATTTTTTTCAGGATTATTTGATAAATGCATAAAAGAGCAGCATATATTTGAAATAGAAATATTTTGTAACATTATAAATGTCTTTACTGTCACTTTTGATTAATTTAATACGTCCTTATTGAATACAAGTATTAATTTCTATAACTATATAAATTAAATTTAGAAAATCTGTCCATATCAATTTCTTAAATGAAAGACAAAAGTATTTCATAAAAATGCATTTTAATTGTGATTTTAAGAAATCCATCTTACAAAGTACATGTCTTTGTGAATATGCACATAAAATGTTTTTAGAATGTCTAAACATTAATAGCAGCTAAACACCACAGAGACATAATACAGAAATCTGCCTACAATATTTAGTTAACAGTGTAACTAATATTTAAACATTTTAATTGGATTAGGCTCTTAGATTTAATCATAATCCTGACTATTGAAATAAAAAAAATACTTTGCCTCGGGTAAACTAAATGGTTTATACTAAATCTAACTAAATGTATTATACAGTACTAGTTTAAAACTTGTTTAAACCGAGATCTCATTGGCTCATTGTGTGCCAGCGCTGTCCTCGCTCTTCTCCTTCTCTTCATGGTTATCTTGAGGAAGTTCCTTTTCCAGAACCATTCCAGACTCCACATCCTCCACTGTTGACAGATCCATTGAACTCTCAGCAAGAACTTCCATCTCATCTTCGCTGAGTGGCTCAATTATGGCATCTTCCTGCCTCGCGGTCACAGGCTCGATTCCTTCTTCTGAAATGTTCACATCGATAGCGTTTGGTTGGTTCTCAACGGACTCTTCGGGCTTCTGCTCATGGGTGAGCATGTGTGCCGCGTAGCCTCGCTGTGAGAGATATATTTTGCAGATGTCGCAGTAGAACGGGGTCATCACATTGTGTTGGTCCATGTGTTTGATGTAGCCATTGACTCTTAGAAAACCCCTGTCGCATGTCTTGCACAAGAGTTTTTCTCCAGCATGAGAGGATTTGAGGTGCTGAACGAGGGAACCTCTGAACTGAAAGGTCTTTTCACAGATGGGGCAGATGCACGTAAGTTTGGATGAGTGATGCTTCATGTGAGCAACGAAAGCAACTTTGTAGCCGAAACGTCTGGGACATAAGTGGCAGGTGAACGGCATGGTCGACTCTGCATCCTCGTGAACTTTCTGGTGAGCTTTCAAAAAAGCCTGATGGGCAAAGGCTTTTCCACACTGTTGACACCCAAACCTCCCATCGGGATTCTCCCTAGTGTGTATGACTCGATGTCGCAAAAGGAGACGCATTTCATTAAACTTCTCCCCACAAGTTGAACACATATAAAACCTTTCTTTAACTTCAGATTCGGTCTTCTTTTTACAGTGATTAGCACGTAGATGCTTCATTAGGTTGCGTCTACTACGAAACCTCTGGCCACAAGATAAACAGCTGATATACTTTCTTTTGACATGATCTTCTTTATTCTCAAAGATGGCGGTCGAAATACAGTCTTCTGTAACGGCCAGCTCACTCTCCTCATATTTAACACACTCATCTTGCTCTTGTCCAGATGTCATGTTGGCACTCAGCTCATATTCAAGAGGCTCTTCTTTGACACAAGCAAGTGAAATGGCCTCCGAAATTGTGATTTTGCATGTTTCATCTTCCACACTCTCATTTTCTGCTTCCTGTCAGATAAAACAGAATCCAGTACATGATTACAAAACAGAATTGTTTATATACAGTATATATATATATATATATATATATATATATATATAGAGAGAGAGAGAGAGAGAGAGAGAGAGAGAGAGAGAGAATTTTTATATAAAACATGGATGTTGAATTATATGTAATTACATTTAATGTGTATATTACATAAAAAATAAATGGCTGTGTGTTTGTATATATATATATATATATATATGTGTGTGTGTGTATATATATATATATATATATATATACTGTATAATTATTGATAATAAATCAGCATATTACAATAATTTCTGAAGGATCATGTGACACTGAAGACTGGAGTAATGATGCTGAAAATGCAACTTTGCACCACAGAGATAAATTATTATTATATTAAAATAGAAAACCATTATTTTAAACTGTAATAATATTTCACAATATTACTGTTTTTTTATGTATTTTATCAAATAAATGCAGGCTTTGATAAGCATAAGACTTTTTTCAAAAACATTAAAGATAGTAATGTTTCCAAACTTTTGACTGATACTAATATATATATATATATATATGTGTGTGTGTGTGTGTGTGTGTGTGTGTGTGTGTGTGTGTGTGTGTGTGTGTGTGTGTGTGTGTGTGTGTGTGTGTGTGTGTGTGTGTGTGTGTGTTAACATTTAATATCTATGTTATATCTAAAATGAAACTGTACATTAAATATAACTATATATAATTAAAATATAAATGTCCTATGATTTGAAAACTAATTAGAAAAAATATATAATTTGAAACAAAAATAGCCATCTTACCCGTATCTCCTTTGCCGTCTCAGATGATCGATGAACAGTATATACTGTAGGAACAGCATCCACGCTCAGTATCATACATGTGGTGTGACCCAGATTCATTCTGAAGTAGTTATCCTCGGAGAAATGATCCCCACACACCCGGCATGAAGGGCTCGCGTTTTCCTCATCAGCTTTACTGTCTTCAATAAACTTTAACCAAAGTTTGCGTCTTTTCGGATCCTCGGGTAACATGTAATGAATAATGGTTTCCGATCGGTTCGGACAACCACCTACCACACATTTATGTACCATTATGTTTACGATCTAACTGGATTTGGGCTTTAATATGGAATGTTTAGACTATGTAAACAATCTGATATTTGCATTCAGATTGCTTGCTATCTCTTGATCATAGTAGATAAGTACAGACAAAAATGTTCAAAACAAACCTCAATGCGGTTTCTTCAGATGTTACTGAAATGATTACATTGTCGCCCCCTACCGGACAGGAGGACGGAACCTTTTGCCCCCCAAAAACCATGCCAAAAACATACAGAAAACATTTAACATCAGACATGGAGGACACATATAACAGATCTTTTAGCTTTACAGAATATGCTTATATATTTTTTCCTTTTCTCTTTTGAAGAAGACGGGGTCTACCTTTTTCTCTGACCTAATCAAAAAAATATAATTATTTATCATATATTACAATATCAGATCAGATCATAATAAATTATATTTAATCCACTGCTATGAAAACAAATGGGCTCCTATTTCCTATCAGCTCGTGATCGGGTTTGCGATTGTGATGTGAATAAAGTTTTGCGCTGTTGAATCTCGAATGAAGCAAGCAATCTGCGCATGCGTCATTCTCAGCTTTTCTCGCTAGCGGCGCTGAACAGCTCACTATAGCATGTTTGAGAAGTAAAATATTTGACATATGGTTATAATTCCCTGACGTTTCGAAACATTATACGAGAGTCGTCGACGTGATTGAAAGAATATGCCGAAAAACAAAGGTAAGGTGGTTTCTTAAGACAATTGTAAGAGATGTTAGCCTTGAATTTAGCAAACAAGGTAACGTGAGCTGTTGCGCGAGATATTCAATGTAGTAGCTTATTGTCAATGTTTGATTTTCCATTTTGCCAAAAAACTGTTTTGAAATAATTTTTTGGGCCTTTAAGCTCATAAAACGAAATAAAATATGCTGTCTGGTAATGAGATGGGATGCTCTCAGCCGCTGAAACGTTACGTTACGCAGTTACAGATAGATGTAGCTTTACAGTTAAACGTTAACGTACATTCATTGATCTTTACCTACTTATAGTATTGTTACTTATAATTATCAAACTAATATTTCTAAGAGGGCTCCTACATGCTTAAGTTGCCCAACAAATAAACACGAAATGACCAATAGATCAAGATCTTCCATGCTGGATGTTTGTACTTTGCTCTGTCATTAGGTAACATTTGCAGTGTGGTGTTAATGAGAAGACTTTGATCCATGTGTATGATGGCATCTGATCTCATTTTATATCTCTGTATCCAGGTAAAGGAGGAAAAAATCGGCGGCGTGGTAAGAATGAGAATGAATCTGAGAAAAGGGAGCTGGTGTTTAAAGAGGATGGACAAGGTATGTTGTAATACTCTTCCATATAATAAACATTCTGCCTTTCCTTGAAATGCTTTTAGTTTTATCATTTGTTGTCTTCTAGAATATGCTCAGGTCATCAAGATGTTGGGAAATGGGAGATTGGAGGCCATGTGTTTTGATGGAGTCAAACGGCTTTGTCACATTCGAGGAAAGCTCCGGAAAAAGGTGTACTTTACTTTTCAGGATGAATGCAGATTCAGCTTTTTCATCACTTTGTGAATGAGCTCGACTGGACTGATTATAAAAAGTTTAGGCAAATCAGTCAGTGTTGTTTGATTAAACTAAATAATTGATGTAACTAATGTTGTGTATGAAAAAAATGTAAGCTGGAAAACTTAAGCATAGGAAAAAATAATGTTCTGCTTAAAATATTTATATTGTTCTTTAACAAGAAATCCAGAGGCACATTTGTCTTGTCATTTATTGTCTTATGCTTTTTGTTTCTTAAATTTAGGTGTGGATTAACACGTCAGACATTATACTCATTGGATTAAGAGACTACCAGGTTTGTTTAAATATTCTTTTTAATTTAATATAATTATACTAATGTAATAAATATAGCTATAGATATAATCATTTATAGTCATTGGATTAATGGGGTATCAGGGGCCGTTTGCATAAATTGCTAAGACTAGTTTTACAAGTTAGTCATTAATTTTTTTTTCTTTAGGACTCTTCATAACCGTTTTAAGTTAGTTACGTACAAATGTAGATTAGTCTAATTTGAAACCAATCTGCCCCTTGACTAATCACTAGTTGGTCATTCTAGTACTTAAGACACAGTCTTAACATAATGGCTGTGTTTATGTGACTAGCAGGAGCAGGTTTATTAAATATTTCTGAATTTAACAATTATATATTATAATAATATAACACATAATATAGCTATATAATACAATTTTTTATTTTTTTTATTATAAATATATAACTGTTTAAATAATATATTTTTGTTTGCCAGGAAAGATATGAATTCCCAATATCACTTAAAAGCTTTACTCTTGTTATTTAAAAATAAAACTAATTCTGCTTCTGAAACTGCAGAGTAGGGATGTCCCGATACCACTTTTTCACTTCCGATACCGATACCGATGCCGCAGCTTTGGCTTTTGCCGATACCGATATTAATCCGATATTTTTATTTTATTCTTAAACTAATAAAAAATATAGCAATTTTCTCAATTAGCCACCTAAAATATACCTCCTATATAGTCCACAACAACAGTTGATTATGAAAGATTGCCACCCTTTATTCAAACACTACAAAAAAATAAAGAAATATATAAATTAAAGAAAATACAGGCACTTCAGTACTTAAAGCTAGCTAGCTACCAACAGGTTTAAAGTTAAAACAATTTAAACAGCAGCATTCTACATTGTAAATACCAGTACAGTTTTTGTTTTTTAAATCAAGTAGAATTTCTATAACTGTGTGTTAAACTGATTATCACTCTTGTGTGTGTTAAACACAATCTACTTAATACAGACAGCTTCATTATAAAGATAAACAACAAATCCCCAAAATATATGATCATAATCTATGACAAAAATGCTATTATAAACTAGATTAGTGGATAATACACATTGCTCTTTTTATTGTTGTAAAATACATTCATGAAAAACAAGATAACAAAAATGAAAAAGATAATTATTTTAGATATAGCTAAATCTGCTATAAAATTGAGACATGTTTTAAGTGTATTGCACAGCTATTTAATGAGGCAGCAACATTAATAATTATTAATGTTAATAAGCTTTAATTGCGTCAATGCATTATGATATGAAAGGCTCCAATACAGTGCGGCACAAAGCGCTTATGCGCATCCCGAGCGGAGAATGATGCGCTTGAAGCCACGTGGAGTTCCAGCACGCAGCGCGTCGAGTCCGCTTTGAAAAGTTCAAAGCACAACGGAGATACATATTGATGGACAGTGTATTATACAGTATCTATCTATGCAATCGTTTATTGAGCCTTTTCTTTTAACAGTTTTAAATTTCAGTTACTGTGCGCGTGAAGAACAATTATAGTGCTCTGACTCTAGTGTTGTGATCAAACTGACAGTGTCCGACACCCGGTAGAGAGTAACACGATTGAGTTACAGCAATAAAGTCCAGCAAGATAAAGTTGTTTTATGCGAAAACATAGACCTTTATCTTACAGATCAAGTATAATAGTATAGAGGGAATGCATTAACGTCACTTCCCCGCCGGAACACGCCCCCCTCAGCGGGACTGAGTGGCAGAAGAGCTGCTGCGTGACTGGAGTTAATAGGGGAAACTGCGTTAACGCGAGTAAAACAAACTATTATCAGTTTAAACTAAAAGTTGGACTCGATATAGTGTTCCTTACAACTTATCAAAGATCCAGTGATCCATGGATATTGACATGCAGCCAGGAATCGTGTTTCCTGACATTTATATGTGCCTGATTTCGACGCCGGGGAAATAAATGCAGAAAATTTGCCTGTAAACGTTTTATATAAATACAATATAGATAGGTCTAAATCCGAGTGATCACTTACATTAATGTTATACTGTATATCATCATATCGTCCAGCCCTAAAACTTGTATAGTTTTTTGTCAGTGTTTATTTAAAAACATCCAATTATGCAGAATATAGTCTGTTCTGTAGCTTTTTGCAGTCTGTAAAAATATACAGTACCTCAGATTTCTGGTCAAATCTAGTTGTACAGTCAATCGCAAAGCTCTTTCCCGTTTTAGATGTGTTTTGTGTGATTTTCACGGCATTCACGCTGAAAACAAATGCTGCCGCTCAGTCTTTTTGCCACTTGTGGGCGTGACCGCATTCACTCCGGCCGACGGTGACGTTATGCGCATACCCTCTATTAACATTGAATCATCTTGAAGATAGTTTCATCATTGACTGCAACCGAACGCGACGCGCTGTTTGAATGCTGAATGGAGAATGACTGACAGCCGCGAGAGGGAAAAATTTACGTGATCTTGAATTTAATGACTTAAATATTAATTTATATCTCACATAATAGCTTCAGAACACTTATAATAGAGTGCACGAAAACGTTATGGTACTTTAGAATGTTTTTGTGCATTTTGTGGGGCTTAACAATAACACATAATAGTATACCCACAATATCGGATTTGGATCGGCCTCGTCTGATCGATGTCTGATCGATACCCGATCCCGCAAAAATGGCAGTATCGGAGCCGATACCGATCCTGAGTATCGGATCGGGACATCCCTACTGCAGAGTTCTTTAATGCAAGTTTTTTTTTTTTATGGAGTGAATATCTGACACTTTAAATTCTGAAATCTCTTATCAGGATAACAAAGCAGATGTAATTTTGAAGTATAATGCTGATGAAGCTCGGAGTCTGAAAGCCTATGGAGAGCTTCCAGAACACGGTGAGTATATTCGGAGAAACGTAACCTCTACTAGACTGTTCTTGATGAAAAGAGGTTCTTGGCTTGCAATATGCTGATCTTTTTGCTGCACTGTATTAAATGTCATGTCATTAAATTCTCCCTTTTGGTGTCTTGCAGCCAAAATCAACGAGACTGATACCTTCGGGCCGGGTGATGATGATGAGATTCAGTTTGATGATATTGGTGATGATGACGAGGACATTGATGATGTAAGTACTGAAGCAGTCTTGTATTCATCAGAAGATTAAGATTAATTAAAAACTGAATGTTTTGAGTGATCCATTGAAATGGAGACATGATGCAAGTAGTCAGTACATCAGTTTTTATCTGTGTTCATTAGTGTTTATCCTGACAATACTATATATCCATTCTGCAGATCTAAGAGGAAGGAATGTTTTTCAGCCTGAAGCGACAATATTCTCACAGCCCCCATGAAGTTGCCCCTCCATCAATTATGTACATGGAGGCTCACGTTTTGGGTTTCTCTTACTAAACACATGACTGCATTTTCATTTTCAATCCATTTTGTTATCTTTTAATGTATTTATATTGATTTCACATCAAGTGGAATTTAGTTACAAGTACAGAATCTATGGATTCGCAATAAAAAGATAACCAATTTTATGTTTGGTCTTGCAGTCTGTATCCTAATAGACATGTACACACATTCTGTAAAGGTGAGTAAAACTCTTATGAGCAAAGCTAATACCTCTAAAATGCCTCTTGCCTTTTTTTGAATGTTTTTGAAGTCTCTTAAGATTTACTGGTCACAAAATTGATGCGTTGGACAATGCATTTGTATAAAAAAAAAGCCTGTCTCTGATTAGCATCGTTTCAATCCATCCTAGTTTTCTTTTTTTGTGTTTTTGTCTACTTCAAATGATGATAATACTAATTTTACAGGGCTGCTGAATTTATGAAAGTAACTAATCTTGAAGCTCTATGTATTACTTCAGTTGTTACTTAGTTACGGCTTAATACTAAACTACATTAAACATCAGCAACTGAAATATTTGTAAGATGAAAATGGAAACATTTTTTACTTTCTAAAATGATAGCTCACAAAGCAAGTAACCAGAATGAGCAAGTATTTTTGTATGCAAATAGGCTAATCAATACAAGAATAATGAAAGTTTATTGATTGTATTCTTGCAGAACTGGCCCTTTTGTCTCAGCTTGTTGGTTATAATGTGTTGTTTTATGTGTATTGTTTTGATGAGCTAACAATGGTTGCTTTTTGTCCTCTGCTGATTTTGATCAGAAAACCTGTGATTTTGAAATAAAATTCAACAACATTCAGTATCCTAGAAATGTATTTTAAGCCTTTGAAAATAATCACTTTTTTTACCTCCAGTGTTTATAAAATGTACAAAATGACCATATAAGATATTGTCTTTATTGTTGCAGGTATTTTGTGTTTTATGTGGATATAAAATAGGCAGTATAATTATAGTAAGTGTGTGTCTAGCCACGGGCTTGAGTGATATTAGTCACCGTTTGTTTTTGCCCAGTCACGTGTGTTGCAGTGTGAAAAACAAAGGTAGCCTAATGCACATGCGTATATATTCCATATATTCTTTATAATGTCATATTTGGCTTGTGGTTGAAATTGTCCATTGCTAAAATTATACAAACCAGCCTATTTCCCCACACTTAAATTCACACACTTCTGGATATGAAATGGGCTGTTGTTGATGATCTGATTGTGCACATTTTGGATGCATATATGCCTAGATTATGTCTGGAGTCTGGACTATGTTTGCATATTTTGAGCAGTCTTTACAATGTAACTGGTCAATTATAAGACAATGGCCTTATTGTTAGTTAGTTAAATGGCGTCTTAAATTTGCTTTTGATGTTCTATGAAGTACGCAATAGGTATTTATTTCTAGGCAGGTTAAATTAAACGTCTCTAGGGGAAATAAATGGGAAATGTCTGCCCTGTGCGCAGCTGCCGAGCTTTCCATATATAGCGCAATGTAAACTATGACGTAATGCGTTGCCCCTGGGCGCATTGCTTACGCGCGCGTGCGCTCGGCACTCGGCGATTGGTCGAGCGTGTTGTAATTTATTAGAACCTCGCGCTCTTGTGGCTCTGCCTTCAGCCTTCACTACTTGTGATATCTGGTCGAAAACCGTGATGAGGTTCGGATGAATAAAACCTGAGGTGAACTGTGTTTTCCGTCGCGTTTTGATTTTTCCACTAAATAGTGATAATTGAGTGTGTGGGGTCGGAATGTCATCTGGATATTAATCGTCGAATACACCAAAAGATACACCGGAAATGGCCACAATTTTGGAAAACCTGACAGGTACGTTATGTTATAATGTCATGCTTTAAATTAAGTGCCTCACCCAGATATGACAGTATTGAGGAACGGATTACGGGGAAAGCGAGCATTTTGAGCTGTTGTCATGGAAACTGCTGAGGTGAGAGCAGGATGGGGAACCAAAGACTGACCTGTCCAGGTAAAGAGTGACACCCTTAAGAAAGGCAAATAGACGTTTTTGCGCACCTTATATATATATATATAGGGAGAGAGAGAGAGAGAGCATAGCTCACACATGTATGTGTGTGTGTGTGTGTGTGTGTCATAGGGAAAACCAGGGCTAGTTGTCATTGTTCACGCAAGTAAATACTTTGCAGCATTGGTTAAATTTCTGTTTCTACACCTTAAAGTCTTGGCTGCAAAAATCAATTGAAGATGTCCACTGTTATTACCCAGAGAAGAAAATATGCAGTTCATTAAAAACACATTGATCTTTTGTGACAACGTGCCCCAATAAAAGGACACGCTGTCACATTACATGGGGTAAATTGGTACCTGCCCTTAGGCAGGTAGGCTTTACAGCTAAATTTAAACAGTAAAACAATCATGAAACAGCAAACCATTGTTTTAGCCAACAAATATTTTAATTAATATATTGCATGCGTTTCAAACAGCCCAGAAGTTCTACTTTAAGATGATTTAAAACCAACATACAATATCACTGCTGTAGAAAACACATTTGTGTAATTGCTCTACAGCCCTTGTGACAACCAGCTCTGGTCTCCACTATAAGCTATTTATATCTATTTGTCTAACAGACAGGTCAGAATAAATGTGTTTGATGTTGGGTTTATTGATTTTCAGGCATGCTTTGTACTTCCTACTAAATTCGGATTCTTGTAATGATATTATAATACATTATAATACATATTGTCCGAATGTCTTTTCAAGAATTTCTCCTCAGCTGTATGAAATGTGCTTTAGATTTTAAGCTTCTTTTCCCCTTGAGCATTTTGTCTTTGCATATATCTGCATACCATTACGCAATTAGCCTAAAGCCAGCCCTCTGTTTTAGTGCTTGTAACTGGACCATAACCACCATAGATATTGAGGGGGGCTTGAATTATTTGGTTACATCCTTGGCTTGGGTCATGATTCTATGGACTCTATACAAGGTGTGTTCACTGTTTATGTGCATTTTAACATTTAACGTCTTTTCGCACTCAAAGATGGAGGCTCGAAAAAGGACAGAATTCGACTGGCCAAAGAAAGAAGAGAGGAGAAAGATAGAAGCCAAGGTTAGCTGCAAGTCTTTTATTAAACAGTATGTCCTACTAAGATTTAGATACTAACAAAGAAACATGAAATTATATTCAGAATGGTCTATAACATCTTGCCTGCTTTAGAACTACTTTTAATTCCTAAATGGATTTTGTGACAATCTGGAGGATAAATTAAAGGAGGGGGTTATTTCAGGGCAATAGACTACTTACTCCATTCATCACTGAATCTGATGGCTCTTGAGTAGCGGAAGACTTCTGTAATGCCACTAAGTGCTTAGCAAAATGAATCAGTATTGTCAGCAAGTTGGAAAAGGCTTGGCCTTTCCCGTATCAGGGCAATCTATAGACTTATCCGTGTCCACCCCCACCATTTCTCTAGCTGTGCGGGAGCGAGCTCTCTGGGAGAAGGAACAGCGTGCACAGCAGCAGTATGAACGCTCAGTGGTGGAGCGAGGGAGGCGACTGGAGGAGCAGCGGCAAAAGGAGATTCACCGTCGTTCGGCCGTGGAAGAGAAAAGGAGGCAGCGCATAGAGGAGGAAAAGGTCAGGGGTTACACTCTTTGGGGTATCTGCTCATTAGCACAGGTTTTTCATTCTCTGCATCCTTTTATTTTTGTTTTGATTTTTAAATTAAAAAAATTATTATGCATACGTTCTTTCTGTTTATTTTTCTCTTCAGTTGGTTTAATCTTAAAGGTGGAGTGTGTAATTTTGTAGCTATTAAAACAATATTTAACATACAGTATGTGGGATCAAAGGCAGCAGAAAGGGAATGACATTAGTAATAGCCTATATTCACTACTGTTCAAAATTGAGAAGTCAGTAAAGATATTTTTAAAAGAAATTAATACATTTATTCAGTAAGGATGCATTATATTGATCAAAAGTGACAGTAGTGACATTTATAAAAGATTTCTTTTTGAAATAAATGCTGTCCTTTTGAACTTTCTATTCATCAAAGAATTCTGAATTACAGTTTCCACAAATATATTAAGCAGATCAATGTTTTTCCAAATTAATATGAGCACCAAATCAGCATATTAAAATGATTTCTGAGGGATCGTATGAGACTGAAGACTGGAGTAATGATACTGAAAATTCAGCTTAGCCATCACTGGAATAAATTGCATTTTAAAATGTATTAAAATACAAAACAGTTATTTTTTAATTGTAATAATATTACACAATTTTACTGTCTTGGTGAGGATAAGAGACTTCTTTCAAAAACATAAAAAAAAGCTTTTGAACATTAGTGTATTCTATATACATAATACATTATATCTACCAGCAGGGGCTAACTGTACCATGCTAACATGCTAAACCTTGACCCCTTGATCACAAGACAACAACACACGCTCAATCAATGGCGTGAGATTGGGGGTGGGACTGCCATTTTGTCTAATGGAAGAACCAGGAAGCATTTGGGAAATCTGTTTGGATACAATTATTATCTTTGCAAATCTGCTGGTGGCACAAAAATTACACACATCATCTTTTAGCCTGAGCCAAAATGTCATTTTCTTAGGTGTGTAGCAAGTCATTTGATTCAAGATGTCGTATTTGTGATGGTGACACCATAAAGGTTGACATTTTTACTGGGCTGAGTGGGCTCTGATTAGATTTTATGAGGGGAATAGTTTTTGTTATCTGTGCATAATTGTGTCTTTATTCATGTCGAATTTAACCTCCCAGAGTTCCCACCTTTTGTGACATTGAGCTTTGTCTTAGCAGGAGAGTGAAGTCTTTGTTTATATTGATTGAAAAATAGCCACCCCCAGTCAGATGCTGCAATGATTGGTGACTCTCTGGAGTGCTCAAATGACCTCACTGTTCCCGATATCCATCCTTAACTGACATACAAATCAAATTACCCTAGAAAAACGTGGTGTGATATAGTAAGGGCGTGTTTGAAGAAGCTAAAAGGAAACTTGGATGCAAAATACTGTATGGTGTCATTATGATGCGAACTAACAGAGACTGCAGTTAGGCAGTGCATCATTGTATGCAGGGTGTGGTGCTGTTTCTGTGTTCTGGCATGGTAGCTCTGCACTATAATATCTAGTTTTACCTCAGATGACTCTGATCTGGGCCAGCGTTTGGATTTAAATTAATTTTGGCTCCTCGGTATCTGCAGTGGTATCAAAACTGTAGCAGTAGCTTGGCCTCTTTATGTCCACACAATATGCAGCATGAGGCGCCACCTAGTTTTGTGTGCACTCATCATTCATCATCTTTTTTGCAGTCGTTTTCATCAGATTAATCAAATGATAAAAAATGAGATGTTAGAGGAGAATGTAAGATATATGAGGGGTTTGCATCACCCTAAAGGGATTTATTTTTCGTTAATGTTTTTACATTATTACACTTATTACATTGCTGATTATGAGGCTCTTTATGATGAAATCAAGTTATTATTAAGTTGTAATGCCTTTTTTTCTTGTTTGTGTGTTGTATAATCTGTTGATTGCGTTTGGTTTGGTCACCCTCATGTCTTTTCTGTGGAGCACAAAAGTCATATTTGAATATGGATATTTAAAAAAAAAAAAAAAAACCTGCCTGCACTTTTCCTTATTATGAAAGTGAATAGGGACAGGATCTGTAAAGCTACAAAATGATAAAGAAGCACTATAAAATTACAATAAACGTGGTCCATACAATGCGTGCACTATATTTCGAGTCTTCTGAAGTCATACGATAACTTTGTGTGAGGAAAAATGGTGTCTTCTGACAAATAGTGTTTGCATTTCATTTTTGTATAGGTCATATATGACTGAATAATGATTGGAATAATTTCGGTCTTTTCATCACACAAAGCTATATTGTTTGGCTTCACACAACTTGGAATATAGTGTACAAGTCATGCAGATTGCTTGCCTTATATGATACTTTTATGGTGGTCTTTTTTCTTTTCTTTTTTTATAAATCTTGACTCAGTCCCAGAGTCCTAGTCTCCATTCACTTTCATTATATGGAAAAGAACGGCCAGGATGTTCTGAGAAAATTCACTTTTTTACGTTCACAAAAGAAAGAACAACATGGGGGATTGGGATGACATGAGTGTGAGTAAATGATGACAGAATTTTGAGTGAACCATCAATTGTGAAAAAGAAGTATACTTTAGCATACGTTTAAAAAGAGTACTTATTACAAAAATAATATACTTTAAAAGAATATACTTAAGTGCAAACTGAATGTAATGTTTTCAGGCACTTTCTGCTTGTTAATCACAATTAAATGAAAATGTATTGCAGTTTAATACTATATTAAATGCAATTAGTTGAACTTTATAGTACTTTTTTGACTTGCGAACAACATTATGTTAATAATTACTTTTGATGTATTAGAGAAATATGGTTAAGGTGTACTGCCAAACTAATGTCATTGAAACCTGTAGCCTATGTCATGTATTTAAATAAGTGTACTTTAAATTAAATTAAAAAAAGTGTTCTTAATTGTTTTGAGAAAGATATTAAAATATTATTTGCAAGTACAGTACTTGAATTACACTACAAGTGTACATTCAGTACAATTAAGCACACTTCTTTTTCACAAGGGATCCCTTTGTAAAGTGTGCTATATCTTTATCATAAACAATGAGGCTATCGTTTAACGATCATTATACACAAGTATTTGAATTCCATTTGATCAATCGGAATGAAGTACTCCACGTTATTTCACTGTTATGATTATATTGACAATGTGTTGTACTCCCCGGAATCTGGAAGGCTGTTTAATTGTGTAATTTTGTATGTGTAAATTTCAGTGTTTTGGGAAGGGTTATGCCCATTTATGCAAAATCGATCATAATGTGAAAATCAGATGGAGAAACAAGGTTATTCAGTTTAGAGGAAATGCAGAGAGATGGGGTAGATAGAGAGAGAATTTCGGGAAAATACAAATAGGCTTCCTTATTTTCACTGATGCAACCTGTGTCATTGTAATACTCGGTCCGTGTGTGTCAGCTGCTGAGGGGGGAGGGTGTGGGTGGAGTTATGTATGGCAGTTCTCTCCTCCGTCTGGCTATACGCTCTCTTAGACACACAGTCACCTGGGAGGAGAGAGATACAAAGAGAGAGTCGCTGAGTGCAAGGGAGGGTGAGGGAGAGAGAGGCAGAAACAGAAGGCAAGGCCCTCGTCGTTTTGCTCACACACATACAGGAAGGAAGAACAGGGAGAGCGAGAGAGAGAGTCGGAGACGGTGATAGACGGTCGGATAGGAGAGGTGGTCGCCATGGAGCAACCAGCCTTATCCCCGTCTTCTCGCCGCCGTAGCGACAGCTCGGTCAGAGAGTCTCTTTTCTTCCCTGTTTTGGAACGCAACGAACAGGAGCGACTAGAGGCCCTGATGCGACGTTCCTTGGAGCGGAACCTGCAGGTGGACCAGAGGCCGAAACGTTGGACATGGGGCGGACCTCCCGGAGCCTGCGAGGGTGAGTGTGCATTTGCGAGGGCGTGGAGGGTCCCTTGTGTGAACTCTCAGATGGAGAGATAGGAAAACAGGGTGTGGGAACTGCACTGCAGCCCTTTTGTTTTAAAACCGACTGCGATATTGACTGATACGGGAGCTGGATGGAAATCAGACAGATGCAGCTGTTTTATGAGGGAGCTGCAGTGTCACACAGGCATCGAGCTGTTGCTGATCTCAAGGAGTCGCCCCAGTCGCAGAAAAACACTCTGCCTCAAGGTTAGCGCTGTCAGCGACTGATCAGAGACTCATAGGCATTATAAATCATCCGTGCTAAAGCTCTGCCTGGGGGCAAGGGGCAATTTGGGCTGTTTTGGCTGGAGAACAAACACCATAAACTGTGCTGTCACTGTGCCTGCACGGCGCATATTAGACTGCGCAGCTGAAGGCGTTTTGCTCTGTCACTGCCACGTTCTGACTTCAAACAATGCTTCCCCCCCAACCCCCACCCCCCCAATGTTTCAATTACACAAACCTATAACTCTCCTAAGCAGTAGACCTGAGGCTCGGGTAAATCAAATCAACTCTAGGGAAAAAATGCTGCTTTTAAGACAGACAGACACGAAAGCACCACCCTGAATCTGTGGTGCATTCAAAGCTACATCAATTATTTACACTGTCCAAGAGCAGAGCTCTAAGCCTGATCCTGAGTCAGATTGATAATATATCTGGATAACATGCATGTAACACCTTTTTTGCTTTGTGGGTAAGGGCGAACGTTTGAGAATGAGTTTGGTTGCCCTTGGAGAACATTAGGCTCTTTGATAACCTGATATCATTGCATTAGATGCATGCTCTGGGTTATTTCATCTGGCAGTGGTTCATATTACCATCCTGCTTTATTGGCAAAATCACTTTTAAAATAAATAAATAAATAAATAAAATGCCCTGCTGGAAATTATGCAGCTTTCCGTCAGAGAAAAACTGCTGACTGGGTATATCATTATTTCACAGGGACACACTGTTATGACTTCTCATAATATTCACTGTGAGCTTGTGAAATACTCTGTCGTGCTCATGCACCTGTGCTTTCTTTGCTTTGCATCACCTGCGGCACAGGTGATCCTAAGATCGCCCCTCCCTCTCCTCCTGCTTCAGCCTCCTTAGCCAATGACCCCGCTGTTCCTCCTCCTGCCAGCAAATCCAGGAACGGTACTGACTTCATGCTGCTTTATGTGTCATGCCCGCTCACTTCCATGAAGTTTGAGTCACAGTGATTCAGATGTTGTATTTGTGACGGTTTGCATGTGCATGAGATTTTACATAGGAGTAAGTTATTTGCGATCTAAGATCCACACTATTGTTTAAAAGTTTGGGGTCAGTGAGATTATTTGATGTTTTTGAAAGAAGTCTCTTATGCTCACCAAGGCTGCATTTATTTGATCAAAAATACAGTAAAAACAGTATTATTGCAAAATATTATTACTATTTAAAATAACTTTTTTTTTCTATTTTAAAATATAATTTATTCCTGTGATGGCAAGGCTGAATTTTCAGCAGCCATTACTCCAGTGTCACATGATCTTTCAGAAATTGCATTTATTATTATTATCTGTGGAAACCATGATACATTTTTTGCTTTGATTAATAGAATGATTTAAAGAACAGCATTTATTTGTCTTTAATGTAATTTTTGATCAATTTCATTCCTGATTTTACTGACACCAAGCTATTGAACTGTAGTGTATATTGGCCTTGCCCATAGGTGTATTTGATGCTCTGTTTTCTTGTTTATTTCTGTGGTGAGTTTTATTATTGGTGCTTGCTGAGGCAAACATCACTATTGCTATTGTTCTGTATTGTAATGTATTAGATCATCATTTCTACATAATCCGACTTAAAATTGTTGCCTGGCAGATGATAAAACGCGTGGAAAAAAACCTTTGACTTTGAATGAGGAATATGAGCGTATCTAGGGACGAGAATAACATAGTGTGTCGGCACTTTGGATTCACGCCAGTAAGAAACCACTCAAAACACCATAGAGCAGTATGCTGAAAACTACTCAAACCCCTCAACTTCCGCATAGCAATATGCTAAAAATCAACCAAATAGCAATATGCTACTTTATATTAGCATATAAACAATTGGCTTTCATACTGTTTTATACTGTATATAGTATTTATATCGTCCTAAAGCCAAATTAAATGAAATAAATATCTGGAAAATATTAATGTAATGTAAAAAAAAAAAAATCAGAAGAGAAACATTTTAGTTTTATTTCAAATATAGTAGTGTTATCCACAGAAGAAGAAAACATCTTAGTGTAACCTTTCTGGTTCTCGCACTGCTCCAAGCGGGATTCAAACTGGCATGTCCGGCATCGGAGGCGGTCGCACTAACAACAATGCTAAAGACTGCAGCCTCTAGTGTCAGTTGCTAGCGCACCAGGGGAGTGAGGTTTACCTGCACAGCTCTCACTAGCTGGCCTCCGTTACACTAGCAGCCACATAACAGCAGCCTGATGTTGACTTCATAAAATGTCTACTTGTAACCATCATAATATTCTTTGTGGTGAATGTGCATTTGTACACTATATTTATGCTGCAGCGCCCTGGAAACACCCTATCATCAGGTTTTGCATGGTCAGGCACCTCCTTTCTATTTTGTGTTTGTATTTTGGAGTAGTTTTTTTTTACTGTCTGTGTCTTTTCTTTTCTTTTTTTTACAGGTGAATGTAAATGTTCTATTAATGAGAAAATGAAAATGTTTGGATTTAGAACCAATCATAGGTCCCATGGAGATTACATGCATCAGCTATGGAGATGTCATATTCTTCCCCGCCCAGTAAGGGGTCCGGATGCACGGGAGAGGATGTGTAGTCTGGATCCGCCTTGAGCTGCCATTGCACCCCCTAAAGAATGCGTAGGGGGTCTAATCTGTTGGCTCATTTTAAATGCAGCATCCGAGTTTAGCAAACATCCTAGTCTAGCCAATCTGTACAGAAATCTACCTCATATGAATATGAGCCTGCTGCTCTCCATGAAAGTCTTTGATCAGTGTAAATATTCATACCCAAATGGCCACTAATTATTAATCAGAAAGAAAGCCTCTGGCGTTTATCTTCAAAATGAACTGTGATTGAATATCATTATCATTGTGTCTGATCGCTTGTGCCTGTTTTCTTTCTCCTTGGAACTATTCATAATATGTTTCACACTGCAGTTCAAGATTTTATTATTCCGCCCGAGTCCCCTGACTCTCTCCTGAGCAGACATCTCTCGTCCTCATCCACTACTTTGCCCAATATGACAGAGAAAGGCAAGTTTTTTTGCATTAAGCCTCACTATTGAATTGTTTTCAATTTCTGCCCTGCCCCTATTTGATCCTTTGTCTTCCTATGACCTCTGGCCCCTCAGTGTCTTGTCTTTGTTCCCGAATAGCCTCCTCCAGCCCTCACAGGTCTCCTTACAGGGCTTCACCCAGTAGAGCTGAGCGGAAGAAGGGTAGCGCATCGTTTTGTGGACCATTGAATGACTCCAGAGGGGCAGCCACAACCCCGAAAACCCCTCAGGTCCGATCTGCACGGATGTGAACTACATTTTGTCAGATAGCTCAGAAATGTATATTTGGTGCAAAGCACAGTGGGACACAGCCCACAGAGGAGCTGGTCTCCTAGCAACTACACTGCTCTGATCTGTGCATGTCCAGGTCCGGTCGTGGATTTATAGCTATAGATTTTTCAACTAGGGGTCTGTGAATGCCAGCAAGGGGTATGTTGTTAGATATATGAAACATAAAATAAATACAAAGTTCTGTCATGAAACTCTAGATTGCGCAGGCTCATAGGTCCTTAACCCAATCTGCTTGCAATTACATCATTCTCTACAAGTCACAACTGATAGGTTCCCACTGTATTAGTAGCCAGTGAGCTTGCTGATCAACATTCAGATTCTTGCCTATATAGTGGTGCGGGTGTGACGTCACTTTTTTAGGTCATCCAGCAGTTAGCATCACACTGGTTCCCTCGACAAACACCCAATAGGATTTTCCCATAGGCTTTTGGATTATCGCTAAAAACAACCTCTGTGATCAACAAAAGTTTATGATACTTGCACGTTTTGTCCATCAAAATAATTATCACAGATGATCACAACTTTTATGAATTTTGAAGCCTAAATGCAGTCGCCAGAAGTAAAAAGCTAAAGGTAGGCTATAAACGAACTACACCACGGTCAGCCATTTAACTTAAACCCCATTTAAAAACCCATTGACTTCGGGACGATGGAACCAGAAATGCTAAAATGCTAACTCGCTTTTGCGTTTTGGCCTGTAAAAGTGATGTCATACCTGCACCACTCTATTGTTTGCTGTAGCAGTTTTCAGTGTGCTTTCAGAAACCCCTCCACCTTCCCCAGCTCCACCTGTATAGATCTACTATGGGGGTGATTCATGTTTGCTTGTACAGCAGCAGCATGTCTTGCTTGCTCAAAGCAGTAGCTATAACCAACAGCAGCAGCAGCTTAGCAGATCTATTCTGCCAAGACCAAACGCATTAACATTGTTATACTCATTACCATTCTAACTAAGAGAGTTGTCATGGCAGATATATATATTTTTTAAATCGTACATTAATTATGTCTAGAAGGTAAAAGTCATTGATAATGGTGAATACTATTGTCACTATTATTATTCAAATTTATTACGCTTTAATTCGTTAAAGGGGATGGCTTACTCAAAAATGAAGATTCTGTCATCATTTACTAACCTTCATCCTATTCCAAATTTCTATGACTTTCTCATAGATATTTCAGAAACATTTATCAAAATATCTCCTTTTTTGTTCTACAGAAGAAAGAAAGTCACAAACATTTTATAACAACATATGGGTAGAATTTTCATTTTTGGGTGAACGATCCCTTTGATGCATTAGTTACTGTGAATAAGCAATATGTTTGCTGCATTTAATAATGTTAATGCTAGTTTATACTGTACATATACAAATACATTTTATATTATTTCAAGTATAAATTAGCTAATGTACAGGTATATGATTTAACCATAAACAATAGTATAGTTATAAATTATTAACTTTCAGTGCAGGAGACCAAATATTATGAAATTGAAATCTACACTTTTTTTTATATTAAGGGGTTTCTGGTTTGGCTGAGAGACTAAACTTATCTTTGTGGCCATATAATTCTGGTGTCTGTTTTGGGCGTTTAGACTGAGAAAACTGAAAAGAGCATCGCCCAAACCTTAGCCGACTCATCTATGAAAAAACTTGAGTCTCCAACAACACCCACCCGAAGTTCTTCTACCCAAAAGAACCCCAGTACACCGAAAAGGTTTGTTTTTTTGTATCAAATCATTTACTTGTTGTCATTGTTTTTTTAAAGACTGTAGGCAGAGTGTATATTTTGCCTTTACATTTGTAATTCAGATCAAGGTCTTGTAAGAGCCGCATCCAGTCCCCGGCCTCCCCGGGTCAGTACCCCCCTTCCCCGATGAGGCACAGAGCCACCACACCAAGTTTAGAGAGCAAGAGGTGGGAAGGAGAAGAGAAAGGGACCATAGAGAGTAAAGGCTACAGCACTCTAGAGAGAAAGACCTCCAAAGCAGAGAGAATCCCAAAATCTACAAGCAAGGAATTTGGACACAATGCAGGTAATATCTTGTTCAGAGATTCCAAGAAAACATTTATATTTTTTGTCTTTTTAGTATATGATTTTCCTCTAATATTTATATTTTATTTTGGCCAAAACAACACACACTCTGTCATCATTTACTCACCCACATCTAGTTACAAATCCATATGTCTTTCTTTCTTCTGCTTTAAAAAGCTGTTCTAATGGGATCTCAATCACGTGATGTGGACTAAGTGCCTCCTGTCTTGTGTTTCAGAGTCTCCAGTGACTCCCACTGGGAAAGCAGGAACCACTGATGCAGAGGAGGCCTCCAGGCTGCTGGCAGAGAGACGACGCCTGGCCAGAGTACAGAAGGAGCAGGAAGAAAAGCAACGACTGGAAGAGGAGAGGTAGAGATTTTGTGTGTCTCTAGGGTCTGTGTGTCATATTTATGTGTATGCTGCTGTATTATATATTATCTTCTCCATGAATCTCAGGCTCAGGGCTGAGGAGCTCCAGAGGCAGCAGGAAGAGGAGAGACAGCGGCAGGTGCAGGCAGCTCGACAGGCGGAGGAGAAAAGACAGAGACAGGAGGTGGAGCGCTGTCAGAGAGAGCAGGAAGACAGACACCAAAAGGAACAACGTTGGAAGGATCTCCAGGATGAGCTGGAGAGACAGGTCAGAGGGATTATATTATATTATAAAAAAATAAAAAAAATGACTCACTATTTGTTTGTTTCAAACAGTGGGGTCCAAAGGTCTGAGACCGCGGATGAAAATTGATTAGATACATTTTTAATATAATTTTTTTTTTTTTTTTTTTTTTTTTTTATAATATATAATAAAATATATACATATAATAGATTTTTTAGTTTTCATTTAATAAATTATTTTAAATTAAATAATTTATTAGATATTATTATATTATATTTTATTATATTTAAAATGTATTGAAACATAAAAGAATATATTATATTTTCTGCACTGGTCTCAGACTTTTGAACCTCACTGTTTGAACAAACAAAAAAATATATAATATAATATAACAAATTTAATAGATTTTTTATTTCATGCATTTTTATTAAATTATTATATTAATAATAATAAAAAATATATAATTTCTATAAAAAATATACACAGAAATAAAACTGACTCATCAAGACACATTTAGCATACTCACCCATGCAGTCACTTACTCAGACACGTGCAGCACCAATCTGTCTTCTGTAGCTGTGGATATCTGTAGGGATGAATGTGATATAGTTGGAAATGTGATGTGTCATAATGTCTGGCAGAGGGAGGAAGCCGTGCAGCGCGTTCATAGGGAGGCCGAACGGAAGAGGCAGGAGCGAGAGCTTCTGAAAATTCAGGAGGAGCATGAAAGACTGCAAAGGAAGAAGGTTCTTCTCTTTTCTGTCTGTTTACATTAAGAATCAAGAAATCAATGGAAAATGTAATAACACTATTACAATGATTATGTGAAGTACATTATGAGAAGTAAAGTTTAGTGGTAAGTAATTATAAAGTGGTAATCTCTAAGGGCTACTTTTCTACGCACAGATTTATTTCTTAATTAAAGCTTAATTCAAACTTTAGAGAATGTGCAACAGAGCAGTTGAATCCAGGTCTGCAGGTGTAGTCCAAATGAAAGTGTTTGCAACCCATTGGAGTTTCGTAATCTGACATATATCTGTCAAAAGGCATATTGAAAGTGTATAGAAAGTACAGTCACTTTTGATTTCATGTTGACCAGCCCATACTGGATAGTGCTTTATAATCTTCCACTACTTATTTTGGGTCAATGAGAATAATTCACATAACAATTGTTTATTTATTTATGTTTAGTAATATTTCACATTAAGTTATTTTTGATTTACTATATGACAAGTCAATTCAGTTTGCATCTGTGATTTTGACAGCGTATTGAGGAGATTATGAAAAGGACAAGAAAACCAGATGGAGAAAAGGTAAATGAAATATCTGCAGGCCAATTACATTATCAGATGACACCGATTTACTGACTGTAGCAAATAAAACTGCATGTCATGTTATGGACAGAAAGAAGAGGCGCAGATGGAAGTCCCATCCCCCATTTCTGTTTCCCAGTCCATCTCACCATCTCCCTTGGAAACTGGAGGTATTGACTCATGATATGACCCGTATCACTGTACAGATTTACAGTGGGCACGTAGCAACACTTAACTTTCCTTTCCACTGTGTAAAAGCATCAGTCCTTGTAATTCACTGCAACATACACACTCATTAATCTGTTTCTTGTTGCTGAGTGACTCAGCATGTGGAAAATCTATATTGTTTATAGAAAAAAATGAAAGAGTGCCATCAAGTGGTGCAATTAAGAACTGAAATTAGTGTTTTGCCTCTTCCACAAAAATATAATGTCGATAATCTGGTAAAATAACACATTTATTATTATTTAATTTTTATTGTAGATTAAACTACTTTAATCTTGCACAACAGGTAATACAGTGATTAACAATCCACCAAAGGCAACATCTGAATCTCCAATCATATGCCTTCAGCCACTGGAGGCAAAGAGCAGCGGGCTGGATGATCTCTCTGATGGGGTCCAGTCCATGGATGTCAGGTTAGCCTTCAACAAAGTGTTATTACAGAGAAAATAGGTTAGATTATAGCTTGTCTACCACATTGATAAAATATTGGCAGTCCCTGTAATGAACCAAAACACGTTTCCTTGCAGCCCTGTGTCCAGAGATTCCCCCGTCAGCGAGATCTCACAGAACAGCATGAGTTCTGTGGCTTTGGGCGACATCCTTGTTCTGACCGGGCAGGTCTCGCATCCCAAAATGTCTGCTGCTCCAGCTTTTGGTGACTGCAACAAGAACCTGATCCAGGATTGCAGTAGCGCTGCTATTGACTCATCACTTTTCCAGAGTCTTAGACCGACCTCAGACAAGCTCAACATCTAATATAAAGGTGATTGCTGAAAACTACAGATAGAACAGACAAATAGATAGTAGCATGATTTCCTAATTGATTGGTTCCATTAAGGATTGCCAAAAAACATCTTAAATGTATGTTTAAATATGCAAATGATGAATTATCTAATTAAACATGCACTAATTTGTATACATTTCCAGAACATAAATCTGAAGAATGTATAAAGCCAGGTTTAATTTCTTGTGTCATTTTGTTGACATATTTGACGGAGGGAATTTTGGATATTTTTTATAAATCAAATCAGTAAATTTTGTAAATCAGAAAATACGGTCAACAGCCTGAAATTAATTTCAGATTTTTTAGAAAATAAATTGTTGTAAAAAATCAGGCAAATGGTCTATGAATAAACCCTCTGCTAAAAAAAACCCCTTCAGAATATAGATAGGAGTAAAACTGTAAAGTTTGGCGTATATATGCTAAAAATGTATAGCTTTTAACGATACAGATATGTATTGTAAGTGAAATCTACAAATAGATAAAGTGTAATAAAATAAACACTTAAAATGTGTATTTTGGATGATTTTATGCACTAGTCTAAAACAACGTGTTATGATAAACCAAATAGCCCCAAATCTCAAAATTGACCAGTGCAGGAAATACCAATGTTTTTGCCTGTAGTGTCTTAAAGAAATAGTTCACCCAAAAATGGAAGTTCTACCATCATTTACTCACCTCATGTCATTCCAAACCTGTATGACTGTCTTCCTTCAGTGGAACACAAAAGAATACGTTCATGAGATCAGTGGCGCTGTCTGATTCATGAATGAATCATTCAGACTAGTTTTATGAACCTGAGCAACGGATTCATTAAAAAGATTCTCGTTCAATTGACCATTTTCATTCTTTAAAAAAAGTCAAGTGAGTTCAAACAACATGAAGCTGATCAAATGAGAAACAGAATATTCATTGTTGCGTAAACTATCCCTTTAACCATCTCATATTGTTGTCTTTTCTGTTTTAGACACTATTGAAGCACGGGGCTGGACTGAACTGATGTACTGGAGTGGAGCTGAAAAATGAGACCAGCCCTTTGTGCCTCAGCATCTTCATGAGAGCCTGAATATCCTCTTGAACAGGAGAATAAGGACGGAATGTCAAACCATGTGTTAATAGCAAAGAAAAGACACCCTGACGGTTGATTCCCCACACATAAAATAAAGTTTTGCCTGCTCCTCGTAGATATTATATTTCACACCATTTCACCGTAGTGTCACCAGACAAAGCAACTGTATTAGCGCAGTCCTAGTGGTCGTCTTAGTCCTGTTATACACCTGTAGCATTGATGAGTGATACACCGTGACAATTGTAGCAGCTCCATTGTGTAATTTGTTTTATTTTGGGTTGCATAAATGACCGGCAAACCGAGCAGTTATGTGCTGAGTCTGATAATTGTGCTGTATTAAATGGCTGGGGTTTGCAAGCAGTATATTGTGTAAATCCATGACTTCTCTGCAATCCAAGCTTTGTAGTCTGAAAGTGGATCTGAATAGATGTAAAGTGTGAAATTATTCTATCATAACACTGTTATACTGGCATTAATGTATTATTAGTCAGCAGTTACAAGTTATGGGGATGTATACAGAAAAAAAGTGTACTTCTAATGTCATTTATTGTGTAAAAGCTTAAAAAGGGAATTAAAAGTGCACAATTCCATTGTGTTAAATAGCATAGTGCTTTTAATTCTTCATGGACTTTTTCTGTATTGTTTTATTATATGACATCATTGCACACAGCTCTATTCAGATCAAGAAAACCAAGTAACCACAAAACAGCAACACAAATCAACGTAATTCAGCATCCCACAACTGTACAGTAGTGGCTAAAAAGATCTGTACTTGCTGAATATGTTGCTTAAAACACACTGTTTACCATCTTGTATACTCAGGGTGCTAGTGAGCTTTGCATGTGAGCTCATTTTTGATGTTTGGTGGTCATCTCAATGGCATGTATCATGATGCTGTTGTGTAAAACTTCTGAGGCACTGGATTGCTTCAGGACCAATAAGGAGCCAATTTCTTGAAAGATGTAAGTTTCTATCTATCTGTCTATATCCTTCTATCTATCTATCTATCTATCTATCTATCTATCATTACAAGACTTGGGATTTGGATTGATTACATTTTCGATTATACAGAGAGTGATGGGTTACTACTGAAATTCAGCACTTCATAATGAAATTTGAGAAAAGGTGCATGAATCCGCTGCTTTGAAGTTGCCGAACCCTGAGATACTGACATAATAAAACATGTATCACACCATGAGCTTTCCTTGTTCACAATTTATATAGTTTTGCTGGTTTAAAGTATCTATGTGTTTGCATTATTCCTGCATGTACAGTAGAACAGACATGGCTTGTTGTCACACATTAACAATATTTGGTAATATATGAAGAATTTTGGCACACACAAAAAAAAGATATTTCCAAATTGCTCAGGAAAAATTTACACAGGTTATTAAACACTTTTACCACTAGTGGGGTGTGTTGTCACAGTTGATAATATAATTAATATATTGTACAAAACAATGGTTTGGTATTTTTGTACATTACCTTTTACATTGTTTCATGAATCATTTTGTTGAATACTTTACTGTTTATATTTATACAAAAATATGATAATATTAAATATACTATTAAAACAAATATTTGATTTGGAGGACAATATTTCTATACATAAGTTTAAAAATATGCATGCGTATAATGTATACAGTATGTTTTTCATTAAAAACAATTTTCAAGGGATAAAATGAAAATTCTGTAATTTACTCACCCTCAAGTTGTTCCAAACTTGTATGAGTTTCTTTCTTCTTTTGAACACAAAAGAAGATATTTTGAAGAATGTTGGTAACCAGACAGTTGATAGTAACCATTGCATTGACTTCCATAGTATTTATTTTCCTACTAGAAATGGAAATGGCTACCGTCAACTGCCTGGTGTTTAACAAAAGAAAGAAACTCATACAGGGTTGGAACAACTTGGGGGTGAATAAATGATGACAGAATGTTCATTTTTTGGGTGAAATCCCTGAAAGTGTGGGTGACAATCTACAGAGGTGTCTGTAGGGGTCAGTGACGCTCACAATCGCTGTTGTGAGCGGCTGACGAAAACGAGACAAGATTCTCTTCCGGGTCAATCTTCTTTGTGGATTGCAGGGTCAAATAGTCGTGTGATAAAATACTACGTACATCAACAATCCACCCATTTTTGATTCATCGTACTGATTCTGAAAGCTTCTCAGTCTGTGATGTAATTCACTGTATGACAGTTTGTTCCTTTTTTCCCACGAGAAACTGGTATTTTGGTGGACGCATCGTCTAGCAGTGTGTGGAAGCCATTTCGCGCGGGGTATGTGAGGCTAATAACGTTACTGATTACTGTAACATTATTCACATTTTATTCTGTATATGATGTTTAAATTTCAATATTCATATCTTTCTCCTTTCTCTAAAATGTTGCATTCATTATTCCATACTCTAGCATCAGCAGCATTTATCGCATGTCATTTTGTTGTGCAGGCCTTGTAAATGGCCCATGTCGAGGACTTTTAATTATTAATGTAGTGTAATGCGTTACTGTTTCATTTTAAGTGCGTTTGAAAACTCAATTCATTGAATATGAGCATTACGTTTTGCAGTATTGATAACACATGTCTTCTGTAGACTTTTGACCCTTTAATAATACATGTTACCATGGTTTTACTGTAGTAACATTTACTCCAGTTGCTGTGGTATCTTTATGTAAAATCAAATATGTATTTAATTTTCTAATTTTAACAAAACAATGGGAAGCGTGAAGGAAAAACGGCTACATGAATCTTAAAAGATTGTTTCCAGGTTTTTTTAACCGATTTCCAGGTCAAAATTTGATATTATTAATAAACTTCATAAAACATTTAGAATATATTCATTTCAAGAATTGGTACGTGGCATACAACTGGAAAACAGCCCCATAAATATATAATAATAATAATAATAATAAGCAAAATCATAATAGCAATCAATCATGAACAACCAGAGAAGTAAATGTGTAGGGAAAGCCAGAGGTTAATATTTCTATTTTCAATAGCACTTGAGACCAGTATATCATTTAAATGTATGATCACATACAGTGCCTATATCTGTTTTAAGTTTTATATCGATTTTAAATGGTAAAACTTCAGTTTTATATTGAACACGAAAATGAGGGGTTTTAAAAAGAAAATGCCTGCAGTATTTAGTTTTGTGCTACAGTATTTTATTGTAAATGTTATTGAAACATACTAAATATCTGTTGGAAAAGTGAGGAAGAGTTCTGTGATTTTTATTGAAACATTTGATTGTAATATGTTAAGGCTGCTATTTTTTTTTTATAACAAAGGCCAATACATTTGCTGTAACCATAGTAGCCACAAGTAAAACTATAGTTACTATGCAAAAACGATGATAAATCTTCATAATGGACACCTCGGTTGCATAAATCTGGTCTCATGGCTAACAGTTTCTTGTTTTTCAAGGAGACAATGTCACGTCCGCGTTCGAGATCCCCTATATATTCAAGGTATTTAATCTAAAGTAGATGTTTTGAGTCAGTGTTACACTTTTAAAAAAAAATGTTTGCATTGCTGAGTATTAACAGCTTCTTGAACCTCTCGAATACCAACAGAATTCCAACCCTTCATGGGAGGAGAGCGGAAGGATTATTTGGTGACCAGATGCATTCATCGGTACAATCTGATGCATGGAGAAACCCTGAATATGTCAACAAGGTAGAAAGTAACACGCACTGGAACAAAGATTCCTATCAAGGAGAACAACATGTCGACCACTGGGCCAAATTTATTGATGCGATAGAGCATGCTCAAAAAAGAGGGCCTTCACCTATGACCAGATACCACATGCAGGGTGATGAAGAAAGACAAGCCCATTCTCCAAGGAGGCTGCCCAGGGAGAGGTTACCTTCCCCCGATAACACACGTTTTGGTGTGGAAGAGAAATACAGGATGCCGTCGCCAGGCTGGAACAGGAATCAAGGCATTGAAAAGGAGCTCAGTTCACAGCACAATCACAGAGAATCGAGGGACAGATCTTATCCAAGATATCAAGAAGGAAGAAGGCACATGGATTATGGACATCACAATGAAGAACATGGCGATCAGTATCATGAAAGAGGCTCCTTCCCAGAGAGGTACAAGAATACAATTCTTTCCCCGCTTCATACGTCTGACGTGGACAGAGAGGAACGAAGAACAGAAGAAAGGATTCAATCACTATCCATCTCATTCAGTGATGGATAAAATTGTTTCTAATTTCATCTGTTACACTATATGCCTTAATTTTACATTTATTACATTTAATCTTTGTTACTTTTTATTTTGTTCATTCAGATTAGTTTCAGTTAAATGTCATTATTGTCAATTGGAATATATAGATCCAGTTAATTGTATTGTTCACTAAAACGTTGCTAGTAATTAGGTGTTTCTGATTTCGTTCTAATCTTGGACAAATGTTACTTGCTTTTTTTTAATACAGGTCATCAAAGTCAGATTATAGGGAGCACCACCCTTCTTCTAAAGGATTTTCAGATTTGGGTCTCCAGAATGAATTCGTTGAGCCTCACAGGGGTTTCAGCCCACGTCGTGCACCTGTCATTGTGGAACACGATCATGGAATCACAAAACAAGATTCGAGGAGCCGCGATCCCCCGAAAACAAGTGGCTATCCGAGGAGCAGAGATCCACCTAGGCCAACTGAAACCCAGAGGAACCGGGAACCTCATCGAGATAGAAGAGACCAAGGTCATCATGCACGTTCCTTACAAGATAGACACCCCGGACGACCAAATATTAACCCCCGAGAGCAGTCGAGGAAGAACTCCTCTTCTTATGCAGGAGAAAGTCAAGGGAGAGAGCGACCAAAACACATGGATCAATCTAGAATGGAGTCACATTCAAGAGACTCAGAAGGACGGAGGGAAATGAATTTGAGGGATGTGAGTGATATTGATTTGAGGAACAGAGAAAGAGGCTCTGTCCATGAATGGGAGGAAGAGAGACCACAACGGAATCATGGGAGGATGATGGGACAAGAGGAGGTTCGCCAAAGAGCTCCGTATCACAGGAATCGAAACGCTAATGTTGGTTCTGCGCCTAGACTGGATTTCAGTGAACAGGAGACCCTCAAGATCAAGGTGGACATGAGTCGCCCCGTTGGGCAAACCAGGTATAGTATCATTGTAATACCACATTTGGTTAGAGTCTAAAGTTCATGCCTCTTTTCCTGTCCACTGTTGCCAAACCATGAAGACCTGAAGCACAACAATCTACAGCTTGTGAACAACAAGAAGATTCAATGAAAGTGTGGGGTTGAATCCAGAAAACCCACTGATGAGCCATTTTGTGTCTATCATCATGTAAATGGGTATTGAAGATCATACCAAGATATGGTTATTTCAGGATGGGCAAATTATCCATTGCTAAAGTCTGACAGCCAATGTTCAAGATTCCCAGGATATCCCGCACGGCTCTGAACAGCTTTAAAAGGGGAAGGATTTGCATACCTGGATATGTCCACCGAAGTTCAGTGTCATCCCTTGTGAATAAACCATTTGGGATGTATTAAGGATTGATCTGACATTTCTGAAGCATTCATCTCATGCTGTTGTGTTGGCACACAAATGTACATGTCTCATTTGAACAAATGTTTGGATGTGAAAGCTACCAGCCAATCCTTCAAATGCCAGGAACATTGATGACTTCAAGGCTGGCTGTGACGTGGCTAATACATCATAAAATGGGGCCGGCAGGAGAAGGACTGCAGAAGTTCTACTACTTGTGATCATTCACAAGAAAAAGTTTCAGAAGGTATGTGAAGAAAGTACAAATGCTGTATAAAATCCCAGGTTGCACAAGAAGTTGTTGCAAGTTACAGTGTGCTATTCCTTGACATCAAATGCCAAAACGCCTGGGTTTGGGTTCTTCTGTCTTACGTCGTTTGTCATCTGGAGTGGATGTGATTTGAATTGCCTTCCAGTTACACTCTTCATTTATATGGATGTCACAGGACAGTAAATCCAGCGGGAAAAAAACACATCTTCCTGCTGCTAATTCCTGCATGTAAATGGTTCATCAAATGTCTGAAATACTAGACTGGAATTACATGGATCTCAACTTAATTTGCTTAAGAACCTGAGAATAATGTGCTCCACCAGTTCACCCAGACAAAGGAAAATCAGTCCCCCTATTTTCATCCACTTTTTGGCTTTTCAAGATGATGTCTCCACCAAAATACCAGTGCCCCACAGGGTCTGAGCTCTTCTACTTTCAGAGCTGTATTGACTTAAGGTAAGTCAGCAACCATACAATCCAATTGAAGTCGTGTAGGTATCCACACGTTTTCCAGATGTCCACAGCGTTCAGACAGTCATTCGCTGCAGATGGTTTTTCTTGTGGGGAAGAAGTACGACCTTTTTTGAAAGTAAGAAGATGGGACTGAAAGGACAAATGGCAGTCATTTAATCTGGAACTGGAGCAGAAAATGTCACACCACAATAAGAAAATTTTTGGATGCATTTGACTTTCGCCAAGTCGATTTGCTTGTACTATCCCATGTAATAAGTGGGCAAAAACTGCATATACAAACAAATCTGAAGCAGATCGACAAAGTCACGGATTTAACTGTCAATAACCTGCATTTATTGATGAAAATCTCATCCAGCGATTATTCATCCTGCGTTTAGTGAGGACTCCCAACTTGTGGAGGCAGCAAAGATGCTTGGGCTAAAGAAGATACCTAATTTTGATGTTTCTGTTGTATAGACCCTACAGCCTTCCCTTCACGATGAGTTATGAAACCAAAGAAGCATACTCAAAAGTATTCTACTCAAATGGACAAAGCAACAGGAATGTTATGGGGCCTATTTGGCAGACACTCCAAAGTGACTTACATTGTACAATTCCTTCAAGACTTGACTGTGTTCCCTGCCAAGCAATCCCATGGACTTGGCGTTGCTAGCGCCATGCATTACTAGATGAGCTACAGGAACTCTTTCTGATTTTTGTTTCAGTATTTGGACACGTTTTTTCAATAAATGATGAGAACTCCGTATACATGGCTGTGTCATGTGAAGACATGTCTTTGGAAGTATTTTACAGGCATTTGCAAGACTCTTCAATACAGTTTTGCCATTTTTCCCAAATGCATACCTGTTATTTTGAAGTATTTTTTAGAAAGATGTCAGCGAAGAAACTGAAAGAAACTAAGTGTCATTTGTAAATTCCACAAGAATAACTTTTCACAGATGACAATGTTTGAAGCATCTGCCAATAGACATTTGATTTTATCTGAAAGACAGCGGAGCAGCGAGATTCATCATATCAGATTTGCATACTACAGATTTGCCATATGCCAAGGGAAAGTCCAGGAGCACAGCTGAACCTGAAGGCTGTTATTTTATTCAGTGAGGAGGAGAGGGATCTGTGAAGACCCACTGGAGATCTTCAAAACTCGTCTAGAAGTTCAATGCATCCATTGCATTTCTTAAGCTCACAATCAAGATTTTGCACTACAAGTAAACATACCCTACGAACACTGAGATTTGTTGTCTGATCGTCATCGGTCACCGTGTGTTGACAATCTGGAACAAATGAGTTTACTGAAGAACCCTCTGATGAATGGAAATGCCCAATGACAGTGAGAGGAGAGGCATGAACTTCGACCTGCCATATTTATTATGTGTCGTCAAATTTAGTATATGATAGGTAAAGTTGAGCAGACCAAAATTTTAATCTTGAACACACGACTCAAATTGAATTAATCTGAATACTGTAAACTGCAGTTTTCAGACCAAAATCGGTATCCTGAATTTTCTATATGTTTGCCTACTCTGTATTCACTGGGTTACAGTGAATCAACCATTTACACGACAAAACTTTTTATGCATTTTGGCTGTTCTTTTACCCGACAACAGCGTTTTGGATGCCTGAAAATTTTTACTTGTTAAAACGTGTTTCAAGGTGCAAGTTTTTGAAAACTATACCGTTATCGTCTTCGTGTAAACGGCAAAAATGCACATTTGTGAAAACAGTAATGTCATACATACGTATTACTGTATGTGTTCAGTCTATAGGCACATAGTTGTTTTTTCTACAAAGTGATATCGCCAACTACTGGCCTTGCATGAATATTACAGCGTTTTTAGCCGGACTCATGTGATTGGGGATCTTTTTGACAAAGTTGTCGCCTGTACAAGAAAAACGTAAAGAAGAAACTTTTTTTTCGTTTTTTGTACGTAGTTGTTGTGTAAACGCCCTTAGTTTCCAGGTTATAAAGTTGCTTTCCAAAAAAGGAGACCACTTTTAATTTCACTGGAAGAGGTGTTTTAGATTAATCTAAGTAGTGCTGGTGAATTTGTAGATTAAAGGCATTATATGACCAGTTGTTTTTCATTAAATAAACATTGCCGTGTTTATGGTTAATATGGTACTAATACTGAAGTTTTGCACCCGAGTTTTGTACCTGATTTTATTCCAACAGGATTAGTAAGCAGTAACTTTTCTAAAACATGTATTTATTTATAAGAATTATAGTCTGATTCATTTGAAAATGTAAAGCTGTAATGGATCCTTATATCTCTGTATGTCATGTGTGACCTCTTGTTCAGTCATTTAGGATATTCTTCAGATAGGCAGTTATCATTGGACTTAGTCAATGTGGGTCGACAACGCCTTGATTTCCTGCCCATGCTGGAGCATTCTGGGACTTTTAGGGAATCAGCGGTGCATACTGGGACATTTGCCCAAGAGATCATCACCCTTGTGCATCAAGTTAAAGGTCAGGAACCAGTGGATTAGCCTGGTAGCATATGATGTATCTTAAATAGCACATAATTTATTTTGGTTAACCGTTTGTTTTGCAGAAAGCTACTTTAGGGGCCAAGGCATCACACTTAATCAACGATTTGCAAATGAGCAGTTTTATTCACTCCAGGATGAGTTTAAACAAGAAGAGGAGGACGAGGAGGAGGTGGAGATGGGAAATGTGAGACCAGTCATGAATAGGTACACATGCCAATTATTTAGTTTTTTTAATTCATTAGTGAAGCTTGCAAAGTTTTTTTTTATTGTTTTTATATTTAAGGTTAAAGATTTAATCGCCACCTGTTTCTAAATTTTTGTCCTTAGCTTGTAACTTGTGCCAAACATTTCGCGGTACAGAAATGAAAATTCTTTCTCTTATTGTAGGCAGCTCGGAATGGCTTCATCGAAAACTCAGATCTTCTGCAACATAGGGGCGGATCCAGTAAGTTGATCTTTTTCAGGTCAATCAAAATCAAATAGAACATTTTATGTATGTTGGTTCAAATGTAGATTCTTTTGCTAGCTTCAGAGACGACAGCTTGTCCCTGACCCTAGTGACCTCAGATATGACCTAGAACGAAGAAGACAGCAGCGACTGGAGGGTGTGAAGATCACCATTGCTGGGGGAAGCTTAGCTCAAAGGGCTCCTGACAGGTATGGACTGAAAAGTGTTTAATATATCAGATTAAATATTTGCATGCAACATCTCAACTAATCATGTTTTCTGGATTGAAAAAATACAAAATTGTGTGCTTGGCATCTGCATCTCCCATGATTTAAAATGTTAATATCTTTCCAAAGTCATGAGCGTGAGCTTCCCTACATGAGTGACGATGCTGAGGAGGCGGAAGAGAACTTTATATGGTCTGAACAAGAACGTGAGCAGCCAAGGCAGTGGGTGAGTCTTTGTCTGTGTTTTGTCGATGTGGAGCACATCTATTTTTTTAAAAGTTTGGTTGGTCAAACTATGACGCTTTTTGGTCCTCCAGGATGGTCCTCGTCAAAGAATGCCAGAACCTAGCAGACAAAACTTCAATCCAAGGGGGAATTCCAATCGAACTAGAAAACCACGTGGACGGAGGACTTGAAATAGTGGTGAGGAAACTGTGTATGTGTATACGTGTAGGTGTATTTTTATTTATATATATATATATATATATATACACTCACCGGCCACTTTATTAGGTACACCTGTCCAACTGCTCGTTAACACTTAATTTCTAAGCAGCCAATCACATGGCGGCAACTCAGTGCATTAAGGCATGTAGACATGGTCAAGACAATCTCCTGCAGTTCAAACCGAGCATCAGTATGGGGAAGAAAGTTGATTTGAGTGACTTTGAACGTGGCATGATTGTTGGTGCCAGAAGGGCTGGTCTGAGTATTTCAGAAACTGCTAATCTACTGGGATTTTCACGCACAACCATCTCTAGGGTTTACAGAGAATGGTCCGAAAAAGAAAAAACATCCAGTGAGCGGCAGTTCTGTGGGCGGAAATGCCTTGTTGATGCCAGAGGTCAGAGGAGAATGGCCAGACTGGTTCGCGCTGATAGAAGGGCAACAGTGACTGAAATAACCACTCGTTACAACCGAGGTATGCAGCAAAGCATTTGTGAAGCCACAACACGCACAACCTTGAGGCGGATGGGCTACAACAGCAGAAGACTCCACCGGGTACCACTCATCTCCACTACAAATAGGAAAAAGAGGCTACAATTTGCAAGAGCTCACCAAAATTGAACAGTTGAAGACTGGAAAAATGTTGCCTGGTCTGATGAGTCTCGATTTCTGTTGAGACATTCAGATGTTAGAGTCAGAATTTGGCGTAAACAGAATGAGAACATGGAACCATCATGCCTTGTTACCAATGTGCAGGCTGGTGGTGGTGGTGGTGGTGTAATGGTGTGGGGGATGTTTTCCTGGCACACTTTAGGCCCCTTAGTGCCAATTGGGCATCGTTTAAATGCCACGGCCTACCTGAGCATTGTTTCTGACCATGTCCATCCCTTTATGGCCACCATGTACCCATCCTCTGATGGCTACTTCCACCATGTCACAAAGCTCTAATCATTTCAAATTGGTTTCTTGAACATGACAATGAGTTCACTGTACTAAAATGGCCTCCACAGTCACCAGATCTCAACCCAATAGAGCATCTTTGGGATGTGGTGGAACGGGAGATTCGCATCATGGATGTGCAGCCGACAAATCTGCGGCAACTGTGTGATGCCATCATGTCAATATGGACCAAACTCCCTGAGGAATGCTTCCAGCACCTTGTTGAATCTATGCCACGAAGAATTGAGGCAGTTCTGAAGGCAAAAGGGGGTCCAACCCGTTACTAGCATGGGGTACCTAATAAAGTGGCCGGTGAGTGTGTATATATATATATATAATTAGGGGTGTAACGATATTTGAACCGAACCGAAAAACCGCGATACACCACCCACGATACGTATCGCAATACTCTCATGGCGTACCGAACCTATATATGTGTACACACGAATACAGCGCTGTTGCCTAACCACCATTAACCACATATAATCGCAATAAGCTCAGTGTTTTGTTACTTTTGATAATAAGCAAGGTGTAATCTTTCAAATTATGTCTATTTGATCACGAAATTCAAACAATAAATGGCGTTTTGGCGCTCTTAGATGTGGCGTGACAGATCACTGTAGGCTCCGCATGCGGCAGCGCGGAGCGCGAGTAAATGCGATCATCTCTTCCTCAGTTACAGAATAAACATGAATGGACACATGAAGGTATGTTGAAAGATACAGTATTCTTACTGAAAGGCATCATAACTCGTGTAAACATTCAGTCAGTGTTTCAACAGCGGAAATACGACAATAAAGCGCTTAGTTTTTCACATAGCTTTATATTTACCTCAGGCAAATCATTCAGTGTCCACAGCTTGTTGGTTTGCTAACTCTTTCACTAAATAAATGCAATATATTAGCCTATATATTATATTTTACTTAACCTGTTTATGATATCTTGATTATTTAATGTATGTTTAAAATAGTTGTCATGAAAATAACAGCAACTGTGTAAATTATTATATAACAATAACAAATTAGAGTAAAAACATGTTAATGCAAAAATTGCCTTATGTGCAGTTTACATGTTTTGATACAATTTGTTATTTGAGTGTTGATTATTATTATATCTAAAAAAATATCAACTGAATTTAGGCTAAAAGTCTAGGCTCTGTTGTTAAGCTTTAATGTTATAGTAATGTGCAAGTAAGGGCTCCTATATAGTTTACAGCATTAGCAGATAATTTTGTTATCCTTGAGAAACGTTTACTTGTAATTGAATTAATTTAAAGACAAGGACACAATTTGTTCATTAAAGCACTGTTTAATAAAAAATAAAAGCAATTTTAGCTTTCTAAACCCCCCCACCCCACCGAAATGAACCGAACCGAACCGAGACATCAAAACCGTGGGACAAACCGAACCGTCAGGTTTGTGTATCGTTACACCCCTAATATATATATACACACACACACAATACATATCTACTCTATATGTTGTTAAACATTTTTGTTTGACTTTCAAACAAGAATTTTATGTAGTGTACATTGGCTCTTCATTTTTTTGTTCTCTATTTTCTTTTCACCTGTAGGTGGCAGTGAGCAAGGAGAAAGTCAGCATTTCAAATCTGAGGTCACTTGCGCACGACACAATGTTTTTCTGTTTTGATATTAGAACCACTAAGACCTTTAAATTCTGAAGCTTCAGATAACTTTATGGACATGTCACTGATCTTTTTTTTTTTATCCATTTTTGATTAACTTACTATTTGTTTGAGACGAGCTGTTGATTTATAGAAACCGCTTGTAAACATTGTTTGTTTTGAGGATTGTAAAGAATAAAATAGGTTATTAAAGATTACATATCACCTTGGAGATGTTTCCCTGCTATAATCCTAAAACATTGCTATTCTTTATTGTCAGTAGACTAGAGTTTAGATTTAGATTTATGATATTCCATCATTTACAAGGCACAAATTTCAATTCATTTAATACAATTCATACAAATGCAATCACAAATTGCATAACAGTATGCAAATACAGACTTTTTTGTTGTACCACCTACATGTATGATGCTAAATAGTTTCATATTCGCTGTATTCTGCTGTGTGAACTCAAAGTAGCAGTTCTTCTGTAAATAAAATCATTTGTTGCCTAAATGTTTTCAAATGAAGCTTCGGGTGTTTTCAGTTCACATAATTTATTTTATAAAAGAATGCAAAAGCTGTACATGTAAAACATCTTTACAATTAAATATTTTTTATATTGGTATTGTTTAAAACAAAACTATACAGGAAGGGTCAGAATTTGATATTGTAAAACTGCACTTTAATTCTAATGGAATATGTGTCTGGTTTAACATAATTTTATACCAGTCCACAAAAGAATCACAGTAGTAATTTCACAGAAAAGGCACTAAAAGTTGTTAAACTTTTTAGACCCTCTTAAAATGTCTGTAATAGTTCAGGCATTTCAATGTGATTTTTCAAGGTTGATGACAGGGCAATGGTTTGAAAGACACCTCCGCATTCTCCTCCAATATAATGTCATATCGACACATTAGTGCGCTGTTGGGGACAAGAGCAACATGTTCAAATGCCTGTTTTTGTTCAGCATGCATCACAATCATATACTACCGTTCAAAATATATTTTTTAATAAATGAGTACTTCTATTCTGCAAGGATGCATAAGTTGATCAAAAGTGACAGTAAAGACATTTATAATGTTAGAAAAGATTTCTGTTTCAAATTAATCCCGTTCTTTTGAACTTTCTAATTATCAAGAAATCCAAAAAAATATCATGATTTACACAGAAGCAGCACAACTGATTTCAACACTGATAATAGTAAGATATGTGTCTTTAGAACCAAATTATCAGAATGATTTCTGAAGGATCATGTGACACTGAAGACTGGAGTAATGATGCTGAAAATTCTGCTTTGCCATCACAGGAATAAATTGCATTTTTAAATATATTAAAATAGTGAATAGTTCTTTTAAATTGTAACAATATTTTGCAATATCACTATTTTTACTGTATTTTAAATGCACCTATGCTGAGCATAAGATTAAGAGACTTAAAACTTTTGAGTGGTAGTGTATGAGCAGTAACTCAGAAAAGCAAATGTTGTGTGGTTATTCACCTGTTTGGATTTTCCAGCGGAGTTATCCGAATACGGAGCAGCCTTATCTTGTATCGAGGTCCAATCACATTCCCAGTGACAATCCGTAAAGATATTTTCTGAATTGGATATAGATCCTCATCAAACTGGGCCAGTAGTCGAGTGGATGTATACTGCTCAAACCTCAACAGCTTACTGAGAAAAACATACAGAATGAGCATTACAGAATGGCAAGTCAAAGTTTGAAGGAGCTTTTTGTGTTAAATAAACTCATTACTTCAGTTTACATACTTATCCATCTGGGCCTCTATTACGTTTTTTCCGTTGTGCAGTCGGAGTATGACCACCCCCCACCGCAGAAACTGGTTCCAGGTTACTAGGTCCACTCTGAAGCTCGTCTCTGAAATGAGAAATCAGAATATTGCACAAACTGCCTTTGAGAAAACTTCTGCAATGAACCATTATAGTGCTGATAACTCACTGCTGTAGGGAAGCTCTGCCGTAGTTGAGAAATATGCTCTTGTTTGCCCTAACCTCAAGAGAGTATCCTTCCACGGGCTCATGTCATAACCTGAGTAAGATTAGATAACAGTTAGTTATGGTCTTCAAATCTGATTGGCTGAGTGAGTTTCCAATAGTGTTGACAGTCCAACAACAGTACAGTGATTTAGTAGTGCATTAGCAGGTATTTGTGATTGTTGATTTATGAGATGATGAGGTCATGACTGCAGCCGATGATGAGACCGAAACCAGTGCAAGTAGACTTTGACTAGTTCATTTTACTTACTATTTTATTTATCTGTTATATTGAAGAGACCTTTTTGAAGGATATTGGTTTACGTATGGCTGTTTTATATACTTGAGCTTAACTTTTTAATGTTGTTTATATGTCTATGTGGTGTTTTTATATGCTTTAAGACAAACCATGTGCACATTCATAAGTCAACACCATTGCTGAGTATTTTCTCCTTTAAACTGCAGTGAAACATTTTCAAAAACGCGAATTGAAATCCGTTGATGTTTCTTACGTCTCAAACTACCTTGTAACCAATCACGACAAAGTGCCCGAGGTGGCGAACGGGAACATGAGCTGTGTAACATTAGCAACACATTATTAGCTGTTTGATAACGTAGTCAAGCCAGAAGCCAAAGGCTAATAATATTAATTACCGTTGTGTGTCCAACGTGTTTGAGAGCGATACATAAAACGCATTACCATTCTGATACATCGACTTGTAGACGAGCCTGTATGAGTAAGTGCTCGTTTCCATATATTCATTAATACGCGTAGTTATACTAAATGAAGTTGGGAAACGTTTTTGTTGGCAGAACAAAAAAAGTAACTGGAAATATTGTGTCTAAAATATAAGTTACTCTGTATATTAATTTATTGGACTGTTGAATAAAAGCAAAATCACTTGAAATCTTTAATCAGTATTCATATTTTCGTTTAATATGGTTAATTGCTAGATATACTGTTTTTACCCAGAACAGGACAGGTCGCAGGCTTAAAGGTTTCACACTGCAAACACTGGCCACCGAGGAAGTCGCTGTATGAGGAACACGGGTATGCTGTAAGGTTACAGGTGTGATTCAGAGCACACAGGTACAGGAAAACAGACCTCTGGTGATCACACACTAAATAAGATTTCCCTGTGGAGAACAGAAGGAGTGAGATTAGATCTTAGCCCTGTTAGCAAAACCTTATAATGAACTCAATCCCATTGGGAGGATTGCATAATTTGATTATAACAGAATCTTAATTACACAGCCAACATTTTGCATTTTGAGTTTATTTGAAGAGCATTCATTAGTTATTTGGATCTCAACCCTGAATTCTCCAAAATGTTAATCTTAACATACTGACCTGAGAAAATGGTCTTGGGACATCCAGGCTGATCTAATCCTCCATTGGCATAGAAATCAATATGGCCATGGGTTCCTCTAAGGCCAAAGGCTGCCACAGGAAACAGTGTTTGAGTGTGGGATTGTTAGGCTATGTTTGGAATAGCATACTGTGTAGTTCTATTTTAGTGTTTTTAATCTAGAGCATACTGTGCACAATGTGGACATTTTCTGTATGCATGGAATAACTGTTTGACCTTAAACATTTGCAAAAGCGTGAAGTTTACGACAAATATTCAATGCATTGATCAATTCTAATGTGACAAATGACCCCAGATTAAAAAAATAAATAAATTCTTGTCTAATTTAATTTGACTATAATAGATAATATAAACAAATCTTGTTAACATTAGTTAATACACTGTGAACTAACATGAACAAACAATGAACAGCTGGATTTGTATTAACTAACGTTAACAAAGATTAACAAATACATGAACAAATGTATTGTTCATGGTTAGTTCATGTTAGTTAATACATTAACTAATGTTTAATAAATGAACCTTATTGTAAAGTGTTACCTAGATAATATAAACAAATAATAGATCTTTTTTTTATTCTTTGGTATCATTAGCCACAAATGTATTATACTTACAATTCATATCTGTGTGCAGCACATCTACAAACTGGGCATCAGTTGGATCAAGGCGGTCCTCAGGGGGAACACCGGCAAACATTGGCCCTGCTGGGTCTAGACCTAGAGTTGACCAGGTGAAACATTTAGTAAATGAAATTTATTAGACAAGATTAACTAACTGAAGATGTTACTACCGGTTTTGTTTCATTGGCTCATATTCCTGAGTCTCACCTGTGATTCTGCCCACTCGTCCTCCCAGCATAGCACCAATGAACCCGGCAACGTGTGCACCCAGGCTGACGCCAATCAGGTGGATGGAGTCAAGAGACGCTCCCTCTTTCTGATTGGAACACAATATTTTCGCCACATTCAATAATTTGGCAGACATTACTGACCAAAGCAATATCAGACCACTGACCCTACCTCCATGCTTTCTATCAAGCCTGTGATGTTCACAGCTGTACCCCGTGTGTTGGCTACAGCCGTGAAGTAGATGAGGTTAGCCGCCCCTCTGTTCCAGTCCACTACCAGGATGTTCATGTCCTTCTGTGCTGCTAATAAGTGCACAATGTGGTTGATCCAGATAGGCGGTGCCCCTGTGGGTCGGTACCCGTGTATGACAAAGGTAGTGGGCCTGGTTACATCAAACAGGGGTTCTTGAGTGAAGTTGTGGTGGGGAAGCTCCTGACCGCACTCGAGGTTTGCACGAGTGTAGAGCAGCAGCCGCACATCCAGATTGGTCCCTATGAAAGGCTCATGGAAATCCAGATCGGTGAAGTTGTCACACTCACTGTCCTCACCTAACGACAAAAGACACTGGCTTACTGGTCTGTGTTTTGCTTGTGTGAAAGAGATAGCGATGTTAATTATTGAACCAATTCATTGATATGGTTTGTTATACCTTTTTGTTTCCAGCTAATTTTGTGTTTGGATTGACAGCACAGCATTGTTGACTAAAACTATTAAAAATTGTTGAAATGGAAATTGTCAGTAATTAAAATGAAGCCGAAATAAAATTAAATATAAATATTACATTAAAAACCTAACTTAAACGAATGTCGCTTTGGCAGCTGAAATACAAATTACTAAAAGCTATATAGGAATATTAAGAAATAACTAAAAAATAATTACAAAAGTGCATTGGAAAATTACTGAAACTTAAACTGAAAATTAAAATATAAAAATAAACGTTAAAAATAATAAATGTTGTAATAGTATACCGGTAGTAATAATAATACTAAAACAGCACTCCAGCAGCACAGACAGAGGATCATAAGTGGCATTTATTGTCTTTTGAATAAAGACAAAGTATTTGTATACTTCCTAATTAAGCCTCAGTCACACTAAACAACTTATAAGGGGTATTTGTTCCCTGTTTAGAAATTACAGAAAATAATCTTATTCACAAATATGTAAAATAATGTCTTTTAAATTAGGCTACATATCTCACAATATTAGCAAAGCCAAAATTTTCTAATTTAACATGTTCCTTTCTTTGTGTTAATTTAGCCTACGGTTAGCAAGCTAAAAGCTTAGCTCTCTAGCTTAGCATAGTGCTAGTTGGCTCTTTTGATTAGCTATAAAAAATATATCCATAACACACTGTTTTTGAGGAGGTTTTTAGGATGTAAAAGTCAAAAATGGTTTGTTTGCATATGCCATTTGTTTTAATATTCTGTTAACTATTGCATTAAAATTGATCCATGATTCCTTTTGTTTCATCATAAAATCTTAGTTGATCATTTAAACATATTCCCAGTCCCAGCTCCTCTGAAAACTGAATAATAATTCATTTTGATCTGTACATTTGGAATATTCACAAAAGTCAGTCATCGCTGTTCTTTCCCTCTCTTGTTCTTTCTCTCCACCCTCTCCACTCAACATCAAAGTTTCATGCTTCCATTTATCTTTATCAATCTGCACTACATCCTTCTGGTCATCCTGTAGATCATATGATGTGTCCACCACATATATAAGGCATGTAACCTCTCACGTTTTCCTTGTAGATTTCCGACCATAGAGGTCATCTGTGCTCTGTAATTAGCCTGCAAGTAAGTCACAATTGGATCATGCTTCTATAAAAAAGCAGATCATCCCACCTCTCCTTCCACATGTTTCTCTGCCTCCTCCCCTTCCCCCAATAGAAAGATCTGAGATTATTACAGGTGTCAGTCACATGAGCTTGATGGGGGGTTTGTTGTATTTAACCCTCTTTCACACTGATCTGCTATTTCTGCCATGTAGAGTTACTAATACACGTCCCTGAAATAACATTGATAAATATAGGCTACAAATGAATCCTCAAGTCCTTGGATTCTGCTGTTTTCTGGTCTTAGACATCAGAAAAATTCTAAATTAATCTCTTGCAGACCCCAGACACAACATGAAGATTGTTGAAGCTCATCACACAGTTAAATAAAAGAAGACTCACAAAATCTTAAATCAATGAAAAACATCCCAGGTTAAATATGTCTCAACTAAATTTTTTGTAAAAAAAAACAACAACAAATTTTCCAAGTTTCCAATTAAAGTCACCAGATCAAACGTTTAACCAAATTAAATTGTTGTAATCTATAGAGTCCTGTCCTGTCTCTTACCTTTACAAAGCATAAAAATGCTCATTAAAGTCAGGAAACTCCACATTGACATCCTTAACACAAGATGTGAGAGAGGTAGACTCGAGGAACATCAAGAAGACTAAGAAACAACATTAGAGAAGGTGTAGTACAGAAAAGAGCCCATGGAGGAGGGGTTGTGGGTGGGGCGAAGGAGATTCGATGAAATCACACATGCTGACCCTGTGGTTAGTGTCACAATGTGGTTAAGTCAGCACTCAGCTTAGGACTTCCAGAAGTTTACAGAAAAGAGGGATAGTTCAGCCCCAAAAATAACATTTCTGTCATTTACTCACCCTCATGTTGTGACTTTCTTTCTTTCTTAGAATACTGAAGATATTTTGAACAATGCCTAAAGGTCCGTTCACACTAAAGGCCCGTTCACACCAAGAATGATAACTATAAAGATAACCTCCATGTTCTTCAAAATATCTCCTCTTGTGTTCCACAGAAGAAAGTCATATAGGTTTGAAATGACATGAGGGTGAGTAAAAAAAATTAATTTGTGGGTGAACTATCCTTTTAAATCTTTTTGACACCTCAGTTATTTTTTTCTCTAAGGTCAGGTTTATTTTGCCCTCCAGTTGTTTTGTTCTGCATCACAATTAGAGGAGTGGTTCTCCTTCCAAACTCTAGTAAAAGGGCCACATCAGCACAGATATTCATAGTACATCAGACACAAGCTGTGGTTTACCAAAATATACCCTGTCAGCAAATACACACATGTAATTTTCATATTCCCCCCCATCTAGTTGAGCATCGAGGGCATATAGTTGTAATAGTCTCCAGAGAGAAGCAATGATCCAGGGTACATGTACAGTTCCTCTGCTTCCCTGCTGAGTGCCTTAAAACCTTGTTTCCTCCTAAACTATGTCATGCATGAAATTAGAAATGAGAGCATTATGACAGTGTGTCTTTGGGGTTCAGGGTCAGAACAGAAGCTGTTTTTGTCTATGCGAGGTTGAAACAGATTAGATGGCAGATTACAGTAACTCTACTAAACTGTCCACCCATTCCCGCATCTGATGCAGTCAATCCTATTATGGTGCTCACTGATCAGGGCTCATTGTACCCATTTTTTTCTGCGTCAGGCCGACAGATTAACTGTAAGTCTTCTCTCATGACAGCGTTAAGAGTTTAAAGAGTCATACTGTCATGTATCTACAAACATGGTTCTTGCATGTTCACTGTTTATTCGTGTACTTATATCTTTAAGATTACCAGGCTACAGGCATACCCAATGAGATTTATCTTAAAAGATTACTTTAATACATATAAAATAATCCAAGAAGCTACGATAGAAGAACTTAGTTATAATATTTGATAGATTTAATAATGTAATAGAAAATTTTTATTAAACATGGTTTTCATCAGAGAGTAGGACACATGAAATATTTGATGCAAAGTTCAAATCATCAACAATATAAACAGATTTTTTTTTTCCCGCAGAGCAATGAGTGCTTTGAGAGATGACATATAGCCGTAATGTCTCTACAGAGATATTTGAACATTGATATAATCCTCATATGTGGTCATCTTCTCATGAAATTAGAGATAAGGTCTAAAGGAAGAGGAAAGACAATAGTTGAGTTTCTTTCCGTGGCGATCTCAGTCAGTGTCTGCATATAGCGCAGCTGAAGTGCTGCCGGAGACTCTGACATCACGTCCGCCGCCTCCTTCAGAGCACGCGAGGCTTTCATTTCTCCGTCTGCTGCGATCACCTGTTCAGTATAATACAACACACTTAAATATGATAATTCACACACCTTTAATTACTCGGAAATTTCCATTGAGCAAATCCAGTTTGTTTTTCCACTGCGCTTGTGCCATAGTGTGAGGACATAAAGGCTCAGGTTTCCAGTCAACAATATGACACTAGTATAGTGTTCACTGAAAGGCAAACACTTCTCTTAACTGGCGTATGGATGGGTGGTTAAATTAATGAAAAAAAATGGCAGATATATGAATAAACAATCTTTGAAAATTTTTCTTTCATGTAGGTCATTGATTTGCCTATAGGCTATTTAAAATGCTGGATGAAAATACAGGTACGCACATGTTTCCTAACCGTTGGCACTTAATATTAGGTTAAATTCAATTATGTAGGTATTATACATACTGTATATAAACATATTACAGATTCTGTGAGCGGTCAGTCATCACCGATAGCAATAAAATCAGCTGGTTTTGTTTTGGAAATGGATTGGCTTAAGGAGGTTACAGTTCATCTACACCCCTGACCGAGCGAGTGGGCTGCAGGTGTTCATCCACACATCCAATCAGAGAAAACCGGGTTTCCCCAGACAGACTGAACACAAAGCTGCAAAGCTGATAAGACTAAACTTGGCAGGCTCGGCAGAACAGACAGCATAGCATGTGTTTGTTTGTGTGTGTGAAGCATGTAACAGTCTTTCAGTGCTCAGACACCAACCTTGGCCCGGGCATCTCTGGTGGCCTCTGCTTCAGCTGCCATGGCTCTCTGCAAAGAGGTGGGCAGTTTGACGTCTTTAAGCTCGACCCGTTCCACTTTGATACCCCAGTTCTTGGATGCAGCATACAGCACAGCCTGTCAGGCAAAAGATGATGAAAAGATGAACAATTTATATTTATGGCATTTATATGCTCCTGTCCAGAAGAAAATGTTGACTCGGGAGGAAATAGCCTTAAGTTTCCAAGAGGGGGATTTTCAGGTGCCCTAATCCCATAGAAGAACCATTTTGGCTCCCCCAAAAAACCTTTCGGTGAACAGTTCTTAAAAGAATACACTGTAAAAAAAAAAAGAATTGAGCTAACTTAAAAGATCTGGAGACAATTAGTTGAGTTAAATGAAAAAGTTGAGTCTAGTTGCCTTGCTTTTTCAAGTTTGCTCAACTTTTTTTTACAGTGCATTTTTTCTTAGTGTGAAGAACATTTTTATAATCTAAAGAACCCATACTTTCTTTATTAAGAATGGAAAGTTTCAATTGATGTTAAAGGTTCTTCATGGAACCATCAATGCCAATAAAGAACCTTTATTTTTAAGAGTGACCTAAAAGGGCTACAAGATTCAGAGGTTTACAAGAAGGTTTATCTTACCTCCATCTGTTCTGACATATCCTCACGGTCTTTTAAGATGTCTGCCAAGCTCTTAGTTCCCAGCATGTTTCGTAAAGTAGTCTGTGCAATCATCTGCGTGGCTTGATTAGCATTCTCCACTTTGGTAATGGAGACAGTTGGGTTAAAGATACGATAGTAGACCACCGCATCCACCATGATAGTCACAGAGTCTTTGGTCAGCACCTGAGGAGAAATGTCGAAAATGTAATGCATGTTACATATACTGATAAAAAAAAAAGTTGCTGCCTTAAATTTTTACGTGCAATCAACTTGGATGTTTAAGTCATTTCAACTTAAATTACATTAAACTGACTTTTAACAAATGTAATCTTGTATAGGTGAAAATTGATAGTTGAAAAAGTCAAAAATTGCTTAAATTATTTTGAAGAGTTAAAGCAGTGTAAAAACATATATGGTCATAACTTATTGATAATAGCATTTTTTTAGTGGAACACCACAATAAAACTCTCCAATAAAGATTATATTAAACGCATAACCTGGAAAATTGAATAAATTGGTAGCTATTTAGATAATAGGTATTCATAGCAAAATAACTAACAAGATTTAGACGTTTTTGATTGAAATGAATCACTCACCTCTTGAGGAGGGATTTCAAAAGACACTGTCCTCAAGTCAACCTTCCGAAATGTATCCACACATGGAATAATCCAGAACAAACCTTCAAAAACAATCAAGATGAAGTACTGCTTGTTGCAATGGCACTAAACTATGTTTAACAAATTATTCATGATTTTAATAACGGGCTAATTACTAACCAGGTCCTTTAGCGCCACCAATGAGTCGTCCCAAGCGAAAAATAACTGCTCTTTCATATTCCTGGACAATCTTTTAATAAGATGAAATGCAGATATAGCAATTGAATTGATTGTGTGATTAACTACAATATTTTAATGTTTATGTCAGATTTTATTCTTTGATAATAGTAAACTGTAATGTGTTTTTTAAGTAGGTTTTAAGTAATTATCTTACCTTCATACAAAACCACACAGAGACAGGAAAAGTAAGGAAGACAAGGAGGAAGGAAAAGAAAGAAAGGAGGTATCCGCAGAACCCAGAGTTCCCGGATTGGTCACCATCTGATTAAACCCAAGGTAAAAAGTTAGTCTCTCAACGACATTAAAATTATCTGATTAAATATATGATTTAAAAAAAAGAAGAAGAAAAAACTCAGCAAACCTGACTGGACATTTGTATCACTCTCTTCATTTGCTTGAGGTTCAATTTTGTTACAGGACATCTCTCTTGGAGAAGACATCATTATAGACATGGTTAGCAGTTTTTATTTTCTGTAGGACTGTTGAAATGTACTTTGAGTGAGATATTTAAGGTGAATTAAATACGCTCTCTTTTTCCATTACCGCCCATTTTCACACACAACATGGAACTTTGCATGGCATGTTGCTAAGCAACTAAACTGAGCTCATGTTAAACCTGAAAGTCAATTACTCGTTTGCTCATTCTTCCTCCTTGAGGCCTTATCAAATATCATCATATATTTTCTTTTTGTTTACACATCCAATGGACAAATGTTTTGTTTTTCTTCTTGTTCAAATGCAGAGAGTATTTGAATATGAAAGGCCTAAGTAATCTTTTATCTCTCTTTGTCTTTATTATAATATCTTAGCTAATACAATTCAATATGATTTTCTAATTCAATGTTCTTTAATGTTCTTTTTTTTTACTTGTTTTCTAAAGTCTTAATATTTTCTTTTGGATATGAGTAAAGACCTGCTGTGACAACGACTGAAAAATAATCAGTCAAAATAAATCAGTTCCAAATAAATAATCCAAAACAATAAGATTTTACAGATTGTAGTATTGTTTCAGGTGCAATTTAATATGCAAACATGCTATAAATGTTTCTCACTAAGTTATATTATTAAACTTTTTATTATAACTGAATGAATTAACATCTTCTAACTAAGATGTTCTCTAGTTATTATAATTGTACCACCAAAAAAAAAAAGACATCCACACATTTTTTATGTGTATATTATTTTTATTGAGGTTTTCAAACATCAAAAACAAAAAAACAAAAACAGACAAAAAGACCCTTCATAAAACAGAAATCTGTGCAATGTGTAAAATGAAACAAAAGTACTATAAAAAAGGAAGACATACACAAAGCCAACCTCAGTTACAAAGTGTAATCACAATAGTTACATAAAGTGATTATTACAGATCAGGAAAACATAAATAAATTAAAGCTGCAAGCAGCGATGAAAGGGCCCTCGCACCCGTGCCACCGCCACCCGGTGGCTTTAGGAAGACAGAGCACGGTGGGCAGTATGTAAATATAGGGGGAATATGTTAAAGTAATTTGCCCCACCCAATTCTGAAACCCACATCACATGTACATTTTCACCACTTCTGAAGTGTGTGCAAAGTTTCATTAGTTTTCGAGCATGTTTAAGCCGGAGGACTATGTCAAAGTCATTTATTTTTATCACACTTCCTTCTACCAGCAGGTGGCGCTATTACAATAATCTAATATGAGGATGGTCATGTGTTCAGGACAGGACTCTTATCACACATGTGAAGTTTGGGGCAGATCGGACATTGTATGCCTGAGTTACTGCAGGCTGTCTGTGGTTGCCTAGCAACATCGGAACTGCATCATTTACACAGAAGTTATCTGATGATGCATATTTCACCCAGAGGCTGAAATTGGATTTGCACATCTACATTTTTGTCAGGCCGCCGAGGTCACATCCTTCGACGAAAACTCTAGATCTTCGCAATTTAACGTCGCAAAGGCCTTAAGATTAGACTGACAAAATATTATGTGGATCTGATTTAATCTCTAGGAGGAGTTCGTTAAAGTACAACATCAGGAAATTACGAAAAATGCACAAAATCTAGGAGGAAGTTCAAAATAGCTCACTTCCTGTTGTGTTTAGGACTATGCTCCAAGAGACTTTTTTGTAGGTATTGGGTCATTACATGTATGTACCAAATTTCATACCTGTACGTGAAACGTAGAGCCGGGGCAAAATCTGGGGGCAATAATTTACCGAATTTGCCCCACCCAATTTTGAAAACCATATCACACGTAAATTTTCACCACTTCTGAAGCGTGTGCAAAGTTTCATGAGTTTTTGAGCATGTTTAGGCCCTCTAAAAAGGGATTCTTTTAAGAGAAGAAGAAGAAGAAGAAGAAGAATTAAAGCTGCAAGCAGCGATGAAAGGGCCCTCGCACCCGTGCCACCGCCACCCGGTGGCTTTAGGAAGACAGAGCACGGTGGGCAGTATGTAAATATAGGGGGAATATGTTAAAGTAATTTGCCCCACCCAATTCTGAAACCCACATCACATGTACATTTTCACCACTTCTGAAGTGTGTGCAAAGTTTCATTAGTTTTCGAGCATGTTTAAGCCGGAGGACTATGTCAAAGTCATTTATTTTTATCACACTTCCTGCTACCAGCAGGTGGCGCTATTACAATAATCTAATATGAGGATGGTCATGTGTTCAGGACAGGACTCTTATCACACATGTGAAGTTTGGGGCAGATCGGACATTGTATGCCTGAGTTACTGCAGGCTGTCTGTGGTTGCCTAGCAACATCGGAACTGCATCATTTACACAGAAGTTATCTGATGATGCATATTTCACGCAGAGGCTGAAATTGGATTTGCACATCTACATTTTTGTCAGGCCGCCGAGGTCACATCCTTCGACGAAAACTCTAGATCTTCCCAATTTAACGTCACAAAGGCCTTAAGATTAGACTGACAAAATATTATGTGGATCTGATTTAATCTCTAGGAGGAGTTCGTTAAAGTACAACATCAGGAAATTACGAAAAATGCACAAAATCTAGGAGGAAGTTCAAAATAGCTCACTTCCTGTTGTGTTTAGGGCTATGCTCCAAGAGACTTTTTTGTAGGTATTGGGTCATTACATGTATGTACCAAATTTCATACCTGTACGTGAAACGTAGAGCCGGGGCAAAATCTGGGGGCAATAATTTACCGAATTTGCCCCACCCAATTTTGAAAACCATATCACACGTAAATTTTCACCACTTCTGAAGCGTGTGCAAAGTTTCATGAGTTTTTGAGCATGTTTAGGCCCTCTAAAAAGCGATTCTTTTAAGAGAAGAAGAAGAAGAAGAAGAAGAATAATAAACAGAGCAAAAACAATAGGGTCCTCTCACCATCGGTGCTCGGGCCCTAATTAAAGCTGCAAGCAGCGATGAAAGGGCCCTCGCACCCGTGCCGCCGCCACCCGGCCGTTTTAGGAAGACAGAGCACGGTGGGCAGTATGTAAATATAGGGGGAATATGTTAAAGTAATTTGCCCCACCCAATTCTGAAACCCACATCACATGTACATTTTCACCACTTCTGAAGTGTGTGCAAAGTTTCATTAGTTTTCGAGCATGTTTAAGCCGGAGGACTATGTCAAAGTCATTTATTTTTATCACACTTCCTGCTACCAGCAGGTGGCGCTATTACAATAATCTAATATGAGGATGGTCATGTGTTCAGGACAGGACTCTTATCACACATGTGAAGTTTGGGGCAGATCGGACATTGTATGCCTGAGTTACTGCAGGCTGTCTGTGGTTGCCTAGCAACATCGGAACTGCATCATTTACACAGAAGTTATCTGATGATGCATATTTCACCCAGAGGCTGAAATTGGATTTGCACATCTACATTTTTGTCAGGCCGCCGAGGTCACATCCTTCGACGAAAACTCTAGATCTTCGCAATTTAACGTCGCAAAGGCCTTAAGATTAGACTGACAAAATATTATGTGGATCTGATTTAATCTCTAGGAGGAGTTCGTTAAAGTACAACATCAGGAAATTACGAAAAATGCACAAAATCTAGGAGGAAGTTCAAAATAGCTCACTTCCTGTTGTGTTTAGGGCTATGCTCCAAGAGACTTTTTTGTAGGTATTGGGTCATTACATGTATGTACCAAATTTCATACCTGTACGTGAAACGTAGAGCCGGGGCAAAATCTGGGGGCAATAATTTACCGAATTTGCCCCACCCAATTTTGAAAAGCATATCACACGTAAATTTTCACCACTTCTGAAGCGTGTGCAAAGTTTCATGAGTTTTTGAGCATGTTTAGGCCCTCTAAAAAGCGATTCTTTTAAGAGAAGAAGAAGAAGAAGCGGAAATATAGCTGCGAGCAGCGATTACGGGCCCAAGCCGGTGGCACCGCAACCCCGGTGCCTTTAGTTACCTAAAGGCACCAGGGTGGCGGTGCCGCCGGCTTTGGCCCTTCATCGCTGCTCGCAGCTATATTTATATATATATATATATATATATATATATATATGTATATATATATATATATATATATATATATATATATATGTATATGTATATGTATATGTATATATATATATATATATATATATATATATATATATATATATATATGTATATATATATATATAAAAAGCCGGTGGCACCGCCACCCTGGTGCCTTTAGGGTTATTGTGCACGACGTGACACAAAATATCTGCTCACTATCTGCCGAACGACTCTGGTAGTTCCGCTTCAGCACTGATGATGTTGTAGAAATAGTGCGCTCTGGTTGGTCTGGATTATTCGGGATTTTTTATTTTATACAGAAATAAGTTATTTATAATTCAGATGAGAATAAAGTTAGTGTTGATTAAAATGAAGGAAAACAAATATATTGATCTGAAATATAGAACATTAATTTTAAATTTATTTAGGTTCAATTACCAAACATACAATCTTAATTTAATTTAAAGCAAACAATACATTTAAAATATATTGGTTGTATGCACTTTTTTTTATAAAAAAAAGATATATATCCAAAAAGACAAGGCCTTAAAGGGTTAAACTCTTGTCACTGTAACAGACACAATCTCTCTCTAATATATAAATATATATAAATTCAATAGGCCTACCTGATTTTGAACACAAGAGGGCAGTATAGCACTATATATGATTTGGATTATTATTATTTTTGACTAAACAACCATTCTGGCTGTTTTTAAACTTAAAAATAATTCTTAAATTGAAAAAAAATTTCTGCTCTGAAAATATAAATAAGCATAAAAATTGAATAAGCACTTTGAATATTCTAAACAGAATAAGCACTAGTCACTAATGAGTAAGTACTAGTACTTAATGGAATAGATACTAGTATCTAAAAAATAAGTACTAGTAGCATGAAAATAGAGACTAGTAGGTTAAAATGATTAAATGTTAAAACGGCTTGCCATATTAGCTCAGAGAGAGACAGAGAGAGGCTCACCATATTCAAACCAAAATATCTGACTTCCTCTTGGTCTGAGCTAATTACGGTAAATTAGAAAGTTGTCCGGCTCGAAGAGTACAATATACATATCGAGTTTTGTTACTGTGGATAAAACTAACCCCCCCACTTTTGTCAAAAGCATTTAGAAAGTGACACACTTCTTGCTG